CCTTTTATTTTAACGGGACAATTCTAATTTTGTCTGCCAGTGCGGGAAAGCCCTTAAACTTGTTCGTGATAAGGTGTACATTATCGGATGGTGTCACCGAAAAACGTGGCATTTCAACAATGTCAAATACCTTTGTTAGATAGAAAGAGCCATCTCGTTGTAAAAGCCGCTCAGCTGCTGAACTTATTTGCATTTCGCCGCGAAGAAGGTAACAAAGTCCTGGGTTTTCCAGAAAGTTTGCACTTCTGCACGAAGCTTGTCTCGCACACAAAACCGAACAGGAAAGCAAATAATCAGTTTTTCCAGACCAAAGGAGGCTTTCTTCTCTGTAGCTGAAAAACGTGTTTTCTTGGATTTGAAAGAAAACGCCATTTTCGGCTCCTTCAGTTGTCTTTGCCGCCGAGAACAAGACGACTGCAAATAGGTATTCGACCTGCAGAAACATCTGTCGAGAGAATCTTAGGACAAACTTATGATTAGTAAATGTATGGAACATATAAATTACCTGCCTATAGACAAAATAGTAAGACAAGTCAGGAAGAGAGAGAGAAATTTGAACCCACCCTTTGATTTTAATCGAAAACACCGCGCGACAAACTCAAACCTTTGTGAATAAGTTTGCACCGTTGGTACCAATTTATCGATTCCGTGATTTTCGCCTGAATTCTACCTTTGCAGTACAGCTTTGACTTTTTGTTTTCTTAGCGATAAGTTTCCAATTACCCCACAACTCTATTTTGACATTTAAATGAAAACACAAGTCCTGCAGGTTTATAATGCAATTATCACGACTTCTAGGTAAACAGAATATGGAAATACCGGAAAGGTTGCGATAAGCTCTTTTATGAAACAGTTCAGTGAAGAAGAAAAAGTATTAAAATGCAAAGTTAAAAATAAAAAGAATTGGTGGGAGATAAAATTAAAACTGGACATGAAAACACATCTTTTTTGTTCGAAACACCTGGCAAAGGAAAAGTACCTTTTTGAGTGCAAATGGAAAGGTAAGGCATGTATTTGTAGTGATTATTTAATATGTTCTTTGTTAACCAGTCCTTTCAAAGTGATATTTTTCCTTTTATTTCTTACATTATTTACATAAAGTAATACATGTTTGATAATTTTTTCAAGATCGAACAAACATTTTTCACTTGGTTGGGCTCGACTCTTCCACTAGGATCACATGTAAGCCAATAATCTCCAGAGCAACTATTAAATTAAAAGTAAGACCTAATTCAGCGCATGCTCTAAGAGAATAGCCGTACATAGTATTGATAGTGTGACGAGAAGATAATTACTTCTGGAAGTTATGTGAGTAGAAATTTGTTGGAGTCTATCTTTGTTGCTCGACTCGAATAAAAATGTTACCATGTGAATTTGCATTTTTCTTTTGGTTAGGACTATTTCCTCCGAGAGGATCATGGGTAGGCCAATGGTTCCTAGTGAAACCATCAAAATAATAGCTAGTGCTGTTATAGCGTTTAGTCGTGCAAAGCAGCGCCCCATAGCCATTGTTTTGATTCGGTGAAAACTTGGATGGGACCAACTCGTGACTTGGGTCAGTCACGTGTTTGATGATCAAACAGTTGATGTCACCTTCCCGCCAAAAACCAAGCTGCCAGGTCCTGGATGACACACCAGTCAGTTGTTTATGTTGCTCTTGATGATGATCTGTCTGCCGATTTGTTTCCAGAGTGAGAAGTTCATGGCGTTGTAGTTTGTTTCATTTAGCGCAGGGGTTATGAAGATGGGAACATTGACTTCATTCTTGGCCGGCCAATTTGGCCTCGGAGTGATCGCATTTGAACCATCATTAAAATGAGTGTAGTTAGTAAAGGAATAGCTCCATACAAGTGTCCAGCCCCCTCCTAAGTATCAATGTCCCGGTAAGCTTTGAAAGTGTTGGCCTGGGATCCGCTATGGGGATCGATCCAAGAAACACCCATGAACGTAGTGAGATAAGGTTTGAGGAAAGTCTGGCACGAGGTTACAGCTGAATGCTGGTTGGAACTAGGGAGTGGAGAAGCGTTTTGCTCTATAATGATAAAGATAAGTACTAAACCAACCACCTTTGAAAGGTCAAAAAGGATTATGAACGAGGGTTAGAGAAATTGTGGTGCTGCGTCGGTGGGAGCGTATAACAGGGTAATTTGGTACTATCAACTGGACACTGTAAAGATCTTAAAAGCTGACCTTTCGATGCCGAAGGACTGACACTCGAAACGTCAGCTTTTGAACTCTTTACGATGGCCAACCCCAAAATTCCCTGGTTAAAAAATGGTTGACGCCAAAAGCGATGGAAATCGGAAAATTTAAAAGGCTAAAGTATATCACGTGGATCAAGACAATAATTTGTAGCTCTCACTTGGGTGGGGACTGGTTATTTCTGGGAAGAGGATCTGTATTGGAATTATGTAATACACCTCAGTTACTGCATGCCATGTCCATGCATGTAGACGGTATTATCAACTATTAAACTTTTACAACTGACCAGGAGAGAACTTCACCTTATAATTCCAATACAATATCAAGCTGACAAGTGATGAAAATGAAAATAAAAATAAATTAGGAGATTATTAGTTGATCCAATACCAAATTCTCCGAGCGCGCTCATCTTATAAATATGCGCTCACGCGATTTTAATTAAAATAGTTTCCCTTTTTTACTTACGACGCACTGCTGATTTAAATCCCGATTCCTTTTCGTAATTTTCTCATTTAAACACAATAGCCCTTTAATGAGAAGACAAGCTGACTTCATCAATGAATGAAAATAAATGAATCAACAATCTTCGAATAACAATCGTAGAGCGCGTTGGCGCTGACTCTTAAGATGGAAAAGGGCGTTGAATCATTATTACAAAAACGACAATGGTCGTAATTTTCAATTTACAAAATTCTCATTTAGTGACTTTGTCCTTACCGACAGAAGAAGTCTTTCAGGTAAACGGCCAAAATCGGCCAGTGGCAAATCTTCCAGTTGTCGATTTTCACTCAGAAATGCTAACACCAAAGCCTTTGAATATGCAACTTTCGATTTTTCTTTTACTATATTGGTTTTCTTCCCCCCCTAGGAAAGTTTGAACATCATTGTCTTTCAGCAATACGGATTTTTTAGTGTCTTAGTCGCCATAATTCGAGAAAGCTCCGAGACACACCTTGTATTGAGAATCGTGAAGGCTTTGCCGTTCATTCATCAACCTGACCGAGTGGCGCCTAAGTCGAGTGACATTAAGCAGCTGATTGGCTGTATCAACACACGTAAAAAAATACGATTTTTTTCACCTGTGTTGTTACGGCTTTTCTCAGAGCCGGAAACCCATTATAACACCGCGGCTTATGTGATAAACATAATTACAAAACGGACTCGATAAAAAATGCCGACTCCCATCTTTTAGTGATCTTTAATTGATCAGGTTAGAGCGGCTGTGTGACATTACAGACATAAGAAAAATTTTATTTCCTACTTAATGGAAAGGACAATGAAAATTAAATTGAAACATGAACAAGGTGTATAAAAAATTGCCATTGCATAAAACTGCCCAAAACATCCGGCCCTCACTCCACTCCTTTGTAATCCCACGGAGTAAAGAAAGAAATGGTAACACAACTTATATTAATCTGTAAGATCTACAAAATTCTAGGAATACCTTTTCTATATAGAAAGGACCATCCTGTTTTACAAATCTTTCCACCAGTCCTTGCCTGTTTTCCTTCGTCAAAAAGCGAATGGGTGGTTTTGTTTGCCAAAAAATTTGCTTCTTTACAAGCAGCTTCTCTCCTACACATTTGAACACAGGTCAATATAGAGTCAGCCTTTTCATTTTGAAGAGCATTTTCATCATCAAGAAAAACGTTTTTCTTATATGTAAAAGAACATGCCCTGATCTTCTTCTGCAGATATCTTTGGGTGAAACCGAAAAAGCCCATATGAGAGCAAATATGTCTCAAGGAAAGATCTGCAAGAAAGGAAACTAAAATGATATAATAGCATACCGAAGAACAAGCAAAGTAGGAGTACTCAATTGCCAAATAACCTCAAAGTGGTTTTGGAAAGCTCCTGAAATATATCAATTACGGTTTATAAATGCAGAATAAGTAATAGCAAACACTATGGTCTTAACATGAAATGCAAGTTGTTTTTATTAGCATTTCGAAGGTAGTTAGCCTAAAAGGCAAACTAAGTTTCAACATATAGTAGAAAAGAAATTGAAGTGTCTTGGAAAGGTATGCACCCTTTAGAACCAAGCTTTATACCGTTTTGAAACTTTGTTATTGGGAAAATATGTTTTTACTATTAAGTGATGCTCGTTATTAAACCCCTAATTTTGCGCATTTCCAAACATTAAAACATTAAAAAAAAAACTGTGACGTCAAATATGTAATGTAATGATTGTTCCAGGCTTCCTTAAGTGAATCTTATTTATTCATTTCATTCTAAAAATTTCTTTAGCTGATTTCAATTATTTAATTTAGTGGCTGCCACGAGTTTTGTAAACAGTATTGGTAAAAGCATCCATTATTAAAAACGTCAAGAATTTAAGTTTTGTTGTACAAAAACAAAGAAGAAAAAAACATACAAAAACAAATTTAAAAAATTTTTGCAAAGTCCGGCTTGAATAGTGACCAGCGCCTCATTAAGTCAAAGTTTGCGAAGGGATTTTTTTTCTTTAAAACTCTATTGGAAAGCAAAATTCTGAAAGGTAATCCCCCGACTTCACATGATGAGTGTAACTGGTGCTTTGCTTGTTCTCATCTTACGAGAGTGAACCAAGCTTGAACCTTCAGCCTCCAAAATCTGATCCTAAATTTTCCCTTCGAATTCTGGTGGGGTTTTTCTCAGTAAATACGATAGGATAACTTAGAGTTATATCAGTTTAAGACCCTCTAGGTCCTCCAGATGATTCTCGTCATTTTTTTTCAAGGTAATGCAATGATTTTGTGCAGATAAGTTAATCAGCTATGGGAGATACGTGTTTAAAGGTTTGTCATTGTCTGTCCTTGCTACTTGGCTCGAATAAAAATGTTACCATGTGGATCAAGAACATTTTTCTTTTGGTTGGGCTTATTTCTTCCCAGAGGATCATGGGTAGGCCAATTTTTGGCCGTGTAACTATCAAAATAGTAAAAGGTGCTGTTCCAGCGCCTACTCGAATAGAACATTGGTCCATAGTTGGCGTTTGGTAAAAACTTGGAAGGCGCCGAAGCTGATTCACTACGATCAGCCACGTATTTGGTGATTTTACAGTTGACGTCACCATTCTGCCAATCAACCAGGCTGCCAGTTACCGGCTGACACACCAGCCAGTTGTTTATGTTGCTCTTGATGAGGAACTGTCTGCCAAGTTGTTTCCAAAGTGAGAAGTTTATGGCATTATAGTCTGTTTCATTCAATGGAGGAGTTGTGGAGACAGGAACATTCACCCTATTCGTAACCAGCCAATTTGGTATTGGAGTGACCGCATTTGAATCATCTTTAAAATGACTGTAGTTAGTGAAGGAATAGCTCCATACAAGGGTCCAGCCCCCTCCATCAGTATCCATGTCACAGTAAGCTTTGAAAGCGTTGGCCCGGGATCCATCATCAGGATCGATCCAATAAACACCCGTGGACGTAGCAGGAGATTGTTTGAGGAGAGTCTGGCACGAGGTTACTGCTGAGTGCTGGTTAGAACCAGGGGTTGAAGAAGTGTTTTGGTCTACAATCATAAAGTTGAAGATTAGAAAAATAATTTCATCATTGAAAGCGAGTCTAGTAAAGTGTCCTCTATTGGAGCTGGCGACCTAAATTTAGTTACGATCATCAAACAAAGAACCAGTATTATGTTACTGAGCAATTTAAAACGATATTAACTTTAACGCTGGGCCAACGTTTCCTGACATGCACTCTAATTTGGTTTTTTCCCTCTTTTTTATGATAACGTTGAGCTGTCTTAGATAATTAGGTTTCAAACTCAATCATTTCTTCACTATTAACCTTGTAAATAAATGATTTTATCGGTGAACGTACGACCACGAGGACATTCGAAACCATTCTACTTGGCTAGATACATGTCCTAATTTCTTTGTATCTTATTTTAATGACGATCGAAAATTAGGTAAAGTATTCAGAAAACCTAAAACTGGTAGCAATAGGCCAGGAAGGATAATGGAAGAGAGGGCAGAGGATGGATGACACCAAAACGTGGTATAAATGAAGAACTTGAAAATTCAAGTTTATCTTGGTGCATCAATATTTATCCATTACATATATGTAATAATTTTCATAAGCGTAACTTTCACCTTGGGGTGAGCCAGTCAGGTCGACCTGAATTGGAGTTAAACAAGACATTCAGTTAGTACCCGTACTTCGCGTCATGCGCATGTGAACGAAAGTGTTGAAGGCTCTTTGGGCGACTGTGGTCTTACTTGTTAGTGACTTCTGCCACTAAACGAACGTTTCATATGCTTTTGAATTATGATCTTGATGTTAAGACGAGCTTCTATGGGTCGTGTCGTCTTAACTTTTTTAATAAGGTCTCATCTCAATCCATTCACGTTACTCCACAAATACCCTCTCATGTTTCAGCTTTTTTCATGCTTAAGGCTTATTTCCAACCTTGATACAACGCGGTCGTTTGTTTTTGTTTTGAACCACCGCTTTTGTTTAAATAGCGCCTCTGATTGGTCAGTTATTTTTACCTTGTCACGTCTCAAAATGCCTTCTGCGTTTTCTCCGATGAATTTGAAGAACTTATCATAATAATTCTGTTTAAAACAGTTCTATACGTTTTAATTCGGTATGGAATCAGATGAATCCATTGATTTGGTAGATTCCGAGGCAGTAAACGCTTATGGATCGGTTGTTGCTAAAGAGGAACGCGAAAATCCTTGCGAGCATTCTGAAGAAGGTGAAAATGTTGAACGCCACCACGTTTTCATTCATTCATCAATTTTTTTTTTAATTGAAGTTTGCCATACTTGTTAAATAGGACCAAGGGTTAGTTGAAGTTTCCTGCTCGTGGAGAGGAACTTGCGTTCGAAAGAGTGGTCGAGGTTGTTTTCCATGCAAAAGAGCAAATAAGAATTGTAACGCAAACTGTCAGTGTCGCTGACGTTCCTGCAATGAAGTGACTAAACTTAAAATAATCAAACGTCTTGCAATACGATATTTTTCCATATTTCTCTTCGAAATCCAAAAAATATTTATAGGAAAATGTTCTACTTTTATTTATAATCCTCAAGCGCTTCCAGGCAGCCTAAAATTTCGAACTTGATGTTCCTCGCTAACCCCTTTATACAGAGTAGGAAGCCATCCAAGCGCTCGACACGGCTAGACTCGGTCCTCAAACAACTCCACATTTCTTTTTGAAATATACCAATTTTTCTTCGGAAAATATTCTACCGTCATTTACAATCCTCAAGCGCTTCTAGAAGGTGAAAAAATGCCAACGTTATCCGTTTCGCTGACCTTGTACACAGATCCAAGCGCGACACGAAGAAAATTTACACCGGACACTACCGGACACGGTTTTCGAATAACTAAAGGTCCGGCAGTCTGATATTTTTTCATATTTCTCTTTGAAAAATACCAATTTCTTTTGGAAATATTTTATCTTTATTTAGAATCCTCTAGCGCTTCCAGAAAGTGAAAAAATTTAAACGTTGTCCTTTTCGCCGACTCTGTTCACAGAGTACGAAGAGATCCAAGCGTGCCACTTAAAAACATCTTCTGGACAAAATTAAAAATACTGTAAAGAAACTGTAAATAATGAACAGCGAATGTATTTACCGTAAAACAGTTGACTATATGTCCAGGATGGCTCTTGAGAAAGGCGATTTTAGAAGGTTTTCAGTGATCTGAGAATTTCGTGTTACAGGAAACTAGGGCGCGGCGCGCGTTGCATCAAAGTTGGAAATGGGCCTCTAAGCGCAAATTACTTTAAACGCCCGATCGAGTCTCTTACGTAGATTTCCAACATTAGAACATAGAATTTCCAGTCGAGCTTTAGAAAAAGGATTATGAAGACCACATTGAAACATAAACATGTGAAATAAAACGATAAAATGAAAAGCAACAACTGCACAGCATTGCCTAAATATCTGGCTCTCAAAGAAAGTTTCATTCAGTTGTGATCGCACTAAATAAAAAAAATGGTAACACAAAATGGCAACGGAAAAATCTCGAAAGTTCTCGATTTACCTTTTCAATATAGAAAGAACCATTCCGTTTTACAAATCTCTCCATCTTCCTTGCCTGTTGTCCTTCGTTAAAAAGCGAACAGGTGCCTTTGTTTGCCAAGAAATTTGCTCCTTTACAAGCAGCTTCTCTCCTACACATTTGAGCACAGGTCAATATAGAGTCAGCCTTTTCACTTAGAAGAGCATTTTCATTGTTAAGAAAAGCATTTTCTTCTATGCGAAAGAACATGCCCTGATCTTCTTCTGCAGATATCTTTGGTGTTACCGAAAAAGCCAATATGAGAGCATATACGTCCCACGCAAAGATCTGCAAGAAAGGAAATTAAAATGATATGATAGAATACCAAAGAACAATCAAATTAGGAGGACTCTGTTGGATTATTGCTTAATACATTACATGACTTTGAGGAGAAGTCACTTACAAACATTAAAGCCATCATCGATGGGAAAAGGCACATTGGGAGCAGATCTTTACTCCTCGTAATTTTATCGAGTTTTGTTTGTCAAACAAAAATAAACGTAATGCATTCGAGTACAACCTAAAAGGATTTTATGCTCTGTTTTATTTGTCATTACTTATCATTCTCTCGGGGATCGGAGAAAGTATGGGTGTATGACTTTCTGGAAATAAGATTGAGTGTTCAGAAGTTCAGAACGGGTTATTCAAAACCTTGAAATACATATCAGCTTTAATTTGCCTTTTTACCCAATGTGTCTAAAAAACAATCATAAAAGGCAAAAAAAAACCTGTAATAATATCCTGAAATCTAACGAGAATTGATTTGATCAGGTGGCTGTACTCAATTGCCAAAAAAACTCAAAGTGGTTTTGGAAAGCTTCTGAAATATATCAATTACGGTTTATTAATGCAGAATAAGTCATAGCAAACACTATGGTCTTAACATGAAATGCAAGTTGTTTTTATTAGCATTTCGAAGGTAGTTAGCCTAAAGGGCAAACTAAGTTTCCACGCAGTCACAATTTTGAAACTCCGTTACATGTTTTTAATATTACTTAATGCTCCTGGCCTTTCTATGGAAATATAAAAAAAAAGTGTGGCGACATTGATATCCAGAAATCTAACGAGAATTTATTTGGTCAGGTGGCTGTACTCAATTACCAAAAAAACTCAAAGTGGTTTTGGAAAGCTCCTGAAATATATCAATTAAGGTTTATAAATGCAGAATGAGTAATAGCAAACACTATGGTCTTAACATGAAGTAAAAGTTGTTTTTATTAGCATTTCAAAGGTAGTTAGCATAAAAAGGAAAACTCAGTTTCCACGCAGTACACCATTTTCAAAACTCCGTTATATGTTTTTACTATTGATTAATGCTCATTACTCAACCCCTTTACTCCTGGCCTTTCCATGGAAATATGAAAAGAAAAAAAACCCCGTGGCGACAATTATTTAATGGGGTAATTGATCCAGGCTTCCCTAAGTGAATCTTATTTACTCATTTTATTCTAAAAATTGGTTTAGCTGATTGCACTATCTGGTTTAGTGGTTGGCACGAGTTTTGTAAACATCAGCGGTAAAAGTAGTCATGATTAAAAACATTGAGAGCTTAAATTTTGTTGTACAACAATAAAGAAGAAACTAGCACCTAATCAAGTCAAAGTTTCGCGAAGTGATTTGAATTACCTAAAATTCCATTGGAAAAAAAACATTCTGAAAGATAATCCCCCGATCTCTCATGATGAGTGTAACTGGTGCTTTGCCTGTTGTCATCTTACGAGAGTGATACACGCTTGAACCTTCAGCCTCCAAGATCTGATCCGAAATTCTCCCTTCTAATGGGGTTTTCTCAGTAATTACGATAGAAGAATTTAGAGTTCTATCAGTTTAATACCCTCAAAGTCCTGATGATGATTCTCGTCACACGTTTTCAAGGTAATGAAATGATTTTGTGCAGATAAGTTAACCAACTCTAGAAGATACGTGTGTAAAGGTTTGTCATTGTCTGTCTTTGCTACTCGGCTCGAATAAAAATGTTACCGTGTGGATCAAGAACATTTTTCTTTTGGTTGGGCCCATTTCTTCCACAAGGATCATGGGTAGGCCAATATTTGCTCGTGTAACCATTAAAATAATAAAAGTTGCTGTCCCAGCGCCCACTCGAATGGAACATTGGTCCATGGTCGATTTTTGGTGAAAACTTGGAAGGCGCCGAAGCTGATTCTCCACGGTCAGCCACGTATTTTGTGATAGTACAGTTGACGTCACCTTTCTGCCAATCAACCAGGCTGCCAGTTACCGGTTGACACAACAGCCAGTTGTTTATGTTGCTCTTGATGAGGACCTGTCTACCGAGTGTTTTCCAGAGTGAGAAGTTCATGGCGTTGTAGTCTGTTTCATTTAATGGAGAAATTGTAGAGATAGGAACATTCACTTCATTTTGGCCGGCCAATTTGGCCTAGGAGTGATTGCATTTGAATGATCGTTAAAATGACTGTAGTTAGTAAAGGAATAGCTCCATACTAATGTCCAGCCCCTGCATTTGTATCCATGTCACAGTAAGCCTTGAAAGCGTTGGCCTGGGAGCCACCATCAGGATCGATCCAATAAACACCCGTGGACGTAGCGGGAGACTGTTTGAGGAGAGTCTGGCATGAGGTTACTGCTGAGTGCTGGTTAGAACCAGGGGGTGGAGAAGTGTTTTGCTCTATAGCCATAAAGTTGAAAATTGAAAGTGAGTCTAGTAAAGTATCTTTTGTATGTGCTAAAGCCTTGTAAGGGAAAATAGAGCTGGCAACCTAAATTCAGTTACGAGTATCAAACAAGAACCAATATTATGTTACTGAGCAATTTAAAAGGATCTAGACTTAAACACCGGCCCAACGTTTCCTGACATGCGTTCTAACTTGGATTTTTCTTTCCTCTTTTTTTGTTAAATTCCGCTGAGCTGTCTCAGACAATTAGGATTCAAACTCAATCACTTCCTTACTATTAACCTTGTAAATAAATGATCAAATTAGTGAACGTACAACCACTAGGACATTCGAAACCATTCTAAGTAGCTGTGTAAGTGTCCCAATTTTTTGTGTTTTATTTTAATGAAATTAGAAGCTGAGGAAAAAGTGTTCAGTACAAAAACAAACTAAAAAAAACTTGGCAGCAATAGGATAATGGAAGACAATGGATAATGGAAGAAGGGTAGAAGATGGATGACACCAAAACGTGGTAGAAATGAAGAACTTGAAAATTATAAAAGATCCAAGTTTATCTTGGTGCATCGAGATTTATCCAATAGCTGTGGGCAGTAATTTACATTAGTGCTCGGGTTACTGATCTTAATAATACTGAATTCCTAACTCTCACCTCGGGGCGAATCGGTTCTTTCTGGAAGTTCGACCTAAATTGGAGTTAAACAAGACATTTATATTTAGTTTCCGTGCTTCGTGTCATGTGCATGTATACGAAACGGTTGAAGGCTCACCGGGCGACTGTGGTCTTATTTCAATTGTTGGTGGCTTCCGCTTATAACTGAACGATTCATAAAGTTTTAACTTCTGTGGGTCTTGTCCTCTTAACTTTTCTAATAAGGTCTCATCTCAATTCATTCACGTCCCTCCACCGATGTCCTCTCATGTTTCAGCTTTTTTCCTGCTAAAGCGCAAATTACTTTAAACGCCCGATCAAGTCTCTTACGTAGATCTGATGAGCTAAATCAAAAAGTTTGCGGAGTTTTTGTTTTATGAGCTAGGAAAAAAAATTATCGCCATTCCGCACTAGCCAAAAAGTTGTTTATTTTGACAAATTTTCAATCATCATACACATTTTACAAGCGCCGGTTGGGCGTGAAACCCATGGAAAACTATGCTAGCTGGTCTTATGAATAGATCGGGCGCTGACGGAATTTGACGGCTTTAAATTTTTTAATGCGGATGCAACAGACGAAACAAAAATTTGTCATGACAAAATTTCTCCTTTTATTTTAACGGGACAATTCTAGTTTTGTCTGCCAGTGCGGGAAAGCCCTTCAACTTGTTCGTGATAAGGTGTACATTATCGGATGGTGTCACCAAAAAACATGGCATTTCAACAATGTCAAATACCTTTGTTAGATAGAAAGAGCCATCTCGTTGTAAAAGCCGCTCAGCTGCTGAACTTATTTGCATTTCGCCGCGAAGAAGGTAACAAAGTCCTGGTAAAGTAATACATGTTTGATAATTTTTTCAAGATCGAACAAACATTTTTCACTGGGTTGGGCTCGACTCTTCCACTAGGATCACATGTAAGCCAATAATCTCCAGAGCAACTATTAAATTAAAAGTAAGACCTAATTCAGCGCATGCTCTAAGAGAATAGCCGTACATAGTATTGATAGTGTGACGAGAAGATAATTACTTCTGGAAGTTATGTGAGTAGAAATTTGTTGGAGTCTATCTTTGTTGCTCGACTCGAATAAAAATGTTACCATGTGGATTTGCATTTTTCTTTTGGTTCTCACTTGGGTGAGGACTGGTTATTTCTGGGAAGAGGACCTGTATTGGAATTATGTAATACACCTCAGTTACTGCATGCCATGTCCATGCATGTAGACGGAATTATCAACTATTAAACTTTTACAACTGACCAGGAGAGAACTTCACCTTATAATTCCAATACAATATCAAGCTGACAAGTGATGAAAATGAAAATAAAAATAAATTAGGAGATTATTAGTTGATCCAATACCAAATTCTCCGAGCGCGCCCATCTTATAAATATGAGCTCACGCGATTTTAATTAAAATAGTTTCCCTTTTTTACTTACGACGCACTGCTGATTTAAATCCGATTCCTTTTCGTAGTTTTGCTGAACTGAAATTAAATTGTGCGAAGTTTTTTTCATAAAATGATGTTCGGAAAAGAAATCGTTTTCGCTGTGAAAAACAAAAATAACCTTTTGACGGGAGGGAAAGGTAATTTAACTGCATCAATTATCTTGAGTTATAATCTGAGAACCGTGCCATATTATTAACGCCAAATACCTTTCTTAAATAGAAAGAACCATCTCGCTGTAAAAGCCGATCAGCTGCTGAAGTTTTCACTTATGATCTATTGGAGGACAGACGTATAGATGACGTCATCATTAAAACTTTTTTTAATTCTTTATTATATAAAACAAATAGATTCCAAGTTGCCGTGTGTCTGTTCAGTAATAGATCACAGAGGACGTCAAAATGTGGTAAGAACATCAGTCACACACTCGGCTGCGCCTCGTGTGCCACTTTTTTTGTTCTTACCACGTTTTGACGACACGAAAAAAGCGACTTTTTGATGAGAAAACAAATATATATATCCTACGTCTTTTTCAAATTCCAACGTTTTTGAAAACAGGTGTATATTTATATATAGATAGATAGATATTATAAAATATGACCACTGGACTACTGAACAAAGCCGTGACGTTGGCGTGCCCGCGGCACAGTTGACCACGCATGTTAAAAGTAGCACCTCGTACGGTCGTACAGTCGTACGGTCGTACATCCAAGTTTTTTCGGCTTGATGGGTTACTACTATTTTGTATAATTATGGGGCTACGCTCTGCGAGCTCCGCTATAAGAAAGTGCAAAATCTTTCGTGAGTTTATTCAGAGATCTCGTTCACCACTGACGGGAAAAGTTACACATCGGTGAACAATTAATGTTCATCAACTAGCGAATGAAAATGTTCCCAGGAAGCAACCATGTTTTATTTTGTTTCTCATTTAAACACAATAGCCCTTTAATGAGAAGACAAGCCGACTTCATCAATGAATGAAAATAAATGAATCGACAATCTTCGAATAACAATCGTAGAGCGCGTTGGCGCTGACTCTTAAGATGGAAAAGGGCGTTGAATCATTATTATAAAAACGACAATGGTCGTAATTTTCAATTTACAAAATTCTCATTTAGTGGCTTTGTCCTTACCGACAGAAGAAGTCTTTCAGGTAAACGGCCAAAATCGGCCAGTGGCAAATCTTCCAGTTGTCGATTTTCACTCAGAAATGCTAACACCAAAGCCTTTGAATATGCAACTTTCGGTTTTTCTTTTACTATATTGGTTTTCTTCCCCTCCTAGGAAAGTTTGAACATCATTGTCTTTCAGCGATACGGATTTTTTAGTGTCTTAGCCGCCATAATTCGAGAAAGCTCCGAGACACACCTTGTATTGAGAATCGTGAAGGCTTTGCCGTTCATTCATCAACCTGACCGAGTGGCGCCAAAGTCGAGTGACATTAAGCAGCTGATTGACTATATCAACACACGTGAAAAATACGATTTTTTTCACCTGTGTTGTTACGGCTTTTCTCAGAGCCGGAAACCCATTATAACACCGCGGCTTATGTGATAAACATAATTACAAAACGGACTCGATAAAACATGCCGACTCCCATACATCTTTTAGTGATCTTTAATTGATCAGGTTAGAGCGGCTGCGTGACATTACAGACATAAGAAAAATTTTATTTCCTACTTAATGGAAAGGACAATGAAAATTAAATTGAAACATGAACAAGGTGTATAAAAAATTGCCATCGCATAAAACTGCCCAAAACATCCGGCCCTCACTCCACTCCTTTGTAATCCCACGGAGTAAAGAAAGAAATGGTAACACAACTTATATTAATCTGTAAGATCTACAAAATTCTAGGAATACCTTTTCTATATAGAAAGGACCATCCTGTTTTACAAATCTTTCCATCAGTCCTTGCCTGTTTTCCTTCGTCAAAAAGCGAATGGGTGGTTTTGTTTGCCAAAAAATTTGCTTCTTTACAAGCAGCTTCTCTCCTACATATGTGAACACAGGTCAATATAGAGTCAGCCTTTTCATTTTGAAGAGCATTTTCATCATCAAGAAAAATGTTTTCTTATATGTAAAAGAACATGCCCTGATCTTCTTCTGCATATATCTTTGGGTGAAACCGAAAAAGCCCATATGAGAGCAAATATGTCTCAAGGAAAGATCTGCAAGAAAGGAAACTGAAATGATATAATAGCATACCGAAGAACAAGCAAAGTAGGAGTACTCAATTGCCAAAAAACCTCAGAGTGGTTTTGGAAAGCTCCTGAAATATATCAATTACGGTTTATAAATGCAGAATAAGTAATAGCAAACACTATGGTCTTAAAATGAAATGCAAGTTGTTTTTATTAGCATTTCGAAGGTAGTTAACCTAAAAGGCAAACTAAGTTTCAACATATAATAGAAAAGAAATTGAAGTGTCTTGGAAAGGTATGCACCCTTTAGAACCAAGCTTTATACCGATTTGAAACTTTGTTATTGGGAAAATATGTTTTTACTATTAAGTAATGCTCGTTATTAAACCCCTAATTTTGCGCATTTCCAAACATTAAAACATTAAAAAAAACTGTGACGTCAATTATGTAATGTAATGATTGTTCCAGGCTTCCTTAAGTGAATCTTATTTATTCATTTCATTCTAAAAATTTCTTTAGCTGATTGCAACTATTTAATTTAGTGGCTGCCACGAGTTTTGTAAACAGTATTGGTAAAAGCAGCCATTATTAAAAGCATCAAGAATTTAAGTTTTGTTGTACAAAAACAAAGAAGAAAAAAACATACAAAAACAAATTTAAAAAATTTTTTACAAAGTCCGGCTTGAATAGTGACTAGCGCCTCATTAAGTCAAAGTTTGCGAAGGGATTTTTTTCTTTAAAACTCCATTGGAAAGCAAAATTCTGAAAGGTAATCCCCCAACTTCACATGATGAGTGTAACTGGTGCTTTGCTTGTTCTCATCTTACGAGAGTGAACCAAGCTTGAACCTTCAGCCTCCAAAATCTGATCCTAAATTTTCCCTTCGAATTCTGGGGGGGTTTTTCTCAGTAAATACGATAGGATAACTTAGACTTATATCAGTTTAAGACCTTCTAGGTCCTTCAGATGATTCTCGTCATTTTTTTTCAAGGCAATGCAATGATTTTGTGCAGATACTTAACCAGCTATGGGAGATACGTGTTTAAAGGTTTGTCATTGTCTGTCCTTGCTACTTGGCTCGAATAAAAATGTTACCATGTGGATCAAGAACATTTTTCTTTTGGTTGGGCTTATTTCTTCCCAGAGGATCATGGGTAGGCCAATTTTTGGCCGTGTAACTATTAAAATAGTAAAAGGTGCTGTTCCAGCGCCCACTCGAATAGAACATTGGTCCATAGTTTGTGTTTGGTAAAAACTTGGAAGGCGCCGAAGCTGATTCACTACGGTCAGCCACGTATTTGGTGATTTTACAGTTGACGTCACCATTCTGCCAATCAACCAAACTGCCAGTTACCGGCTGACACACCAGCCAGTTGTTTATGTTGCTCTTGATGAGGAACTGTCTGCCAAGTTGTTTCCAAAGTGAGAAGTTTATGGCATTATAGTCTGTTTCATTTAATGGAGGAGTTGTGGAGACAGGAACATTCACCCTATTCGTAACCAGCCAATTTGGTATTGGAGTGACCGCGTTTGAATCATCGTTAAAATGATTGTAGTTAGTGAAGGAATAGCTCCATACAAGGGTCCAGCCCCCTCCATCAGTATCCATGTCACAGTAAGCTTTGAAAGCGTTGGCCCGGGATCCATCATCAGGATCGATCCAATAAACACCCGTGGACGTAGCGGGAGATTGTTTGAGGAGAGTCTGGCACGAGGTTACTGCTGAGTGCTGGTTAGAACCAGGGGTTGAAGAAGTGTTTTGGTCTACAATCATAAAGTTGAAAATTAGAAAAATAATTTCATCATTGAAAGCGAGTCTAGTAAAGTATCCTCTATTGGAGCTGGCGACCTAAATTTAGTTACGATCATCAAACAAAGAACTAGTATTATGTTACTGAGCAATTTAAACCGAAATTAACTTGAACACCGGGCCAACTTTCCTGACACGCGCCCTAACTTGGATTTTTTTTCCTTCTTTTTTTACAATTCCGTTGAGCTGTCTCCGATTATTAGGTTTCAAACTCAATCATTTCTTCACTATTAACCTTGGAAATAAATGATTTTATCGGTGAACATACGACCACGAGGACATTCGAAACCATTCTACTTGGCTATATACACTCCTAATTTCTTTGTATCTTATTTTAATGACAATCAAAAATTAGGTAAAAGTATTCAGAAAACCTAAAATTGGCAGCAGTAGGCCAGGAAGAATAATGGAAGAGAAGGCAGAGGATGGATGACACCGAAACGTGGTAGAAATGAAGAACTTGAAAATTCAAGTTTATCGTGCTCCATCAATATTTATCCATTACATTTATGTAATAATTTTCATAGGCGTAACTTTCACCTTGGGGTGAGCCAGTCAGGTCGACCTGAATTGGAGTTAAACAAGACATTCAGTTAGTACCCGTACTTGGTGTCATGCGCATGTGTACGAAATTGTTGAAGGCTCTTTGGGCAACTGTGGTCTTACTTGTTGATGGCTTCTGCTTATAAACGAACGTTTCATATGCTTTTGAATTATGATCTTGATGTTAAGAGGAGTTTCTATGGGTCGTGTCGTCTTAACTTTTTTAATAAGGTCATCTCAATCCATTCACGTCACTCCACAAATACACTCTCATGTTTCAGCTTTTTTCCTGCTTAAACGCAAATTACTTTAGCGAAAAAGTTTGTTTATTTTGACAAATTTTCTATTATAATAAACATTTTACAAGTGCGAATTGGAGGTGAAATCCTTCGACAAACTATGCTAGCTGGTCTTATAAATAGATCGGGCGTTGACGGAATTTGACGGCTTTAAAAGCATTAATGCGGATGAAACAGACGAAACAAAACTTTGTCATGACAAAATTTGTCCTTTTATTTTAACGGGACAATTCTAGTTTTGTCTGCTAGTGTGGGAAGGCCCTTAAACTTGTTCGTGATAAGGTGTACATTATCGGAAGGTGTCACCAAAAAACATGGTGCGTCATCAATGCCAAATACCTTTGTTAGATAGAAAGAGCCATCTCGCTGTAAAAGCCGCCCAGTGGCTGAACTTGTTTGCATTTCGCCGCGAAGAAGGTAACAAAGTCCTGGGTTTTCCAGAAAGTTTGCACTTCTGCACGAAGCTTGTCTCGCACACAAAACCGAACAGGAAAGCAAAGAATCAGTTTTTCCAGACCAAAAGAGGCTTTTTTCTCTGTAGCTGAAAAACGTGTTTTCCTTGATTTGAAAGAAAACGCCATGTTCGGTTCCTTCAGTTGTCTTTTCCGCCAAGAACAAGACGAATACAAAGAGGTACTCGACTTTCAGAAACATCTATCGAGAGAATCTCAAGAGAAATTTATAATTAGTATATGTATGGAACATATAAATTACCTGCCTACAGACAAAATAGTAAGACAAGACAGAAAGGGAGAGAAATTTGAACCCACTCTTTGATTTTAATGGAAAACACCGCGCGACAAACTCAAACCTTTGTGAATAAGTTTGCACCGTCAGTACCAATTGTAATTTATTGATTCCGTGATCTTCGTCAGAAAGTCTATTTTTCTATTTGAGTTTGTTATCACAGCTTGGACATTTTGTTTTCGTAGCAATACGTTTCCAATTACACCACAACTCTCTGTTTTGACATTTAAATGAAAACACAAGTCCTACAGGTTTATAATGCAATTATCACGACTTCTTGGTAAACAGAATATGGAAATACCGGAAAGGTTGCAGTAAGCTCTTTTATGAAACAATTCAGTGAAGAAAACAAAAATTTGAAATGCAAAGTTAAAAATTAAAAAGAATCGGTGGGAGATAAAATTAAAACTGGAAATGAAAACACATCTTTTTTGTTTGAAACACCTGGCAATGCAAATGAAAAGGTAAACCTTGCATTTGTCGGGATAATTGAATATGTTATTTGTTAATCAACCCTTTCAAACCAACATTTTGCCGTTTATTTCTCACATTTTTTACATAAAGTAATACATGTTTGATAGTGTTTTCTGGTCTGAATGATCACTTTTCACTTTGTTGGGCTCCAATCTTCCACCAGGATCATGGGAAGGCCAATGATATCCTGAGCAACCATCAAATTAATAGCATGCCTCAGCGCATGCTCCAAGAGAATATCGGTCCGTAACCTCGGGATTTGTCGAGTGAAATTTTTAAAGAAGTAAAATAGAAAAAGTAACTTTGCATAAAATTCCCTTAGCAAATGTGGAGCCATCATCCCATCACTCAAGCTTCAAAAATGTGATTCAAATTTCTCACTTTTGGCTTCTATGCAGATATTGATTAAAGCAGTTTAAAGAATAAATAGAAATATCAAAACTATACCCTTTTGCTGATAGGTTCGTTCATTTTCAGAACTTTTCTGTTGGATATGGTATTGATATTGTGACGAGAAGTTTTACTTCAGGAAGTTATTTGAGCATAAATTTGTAAGAGTCTGTCTTTCCTACTCGACTCGAATGAAAATGTTAGCATGTGGATTTGCAACATTTTTCTTTTGGTTAGGACTATTTCCTCCGAGAGGATCATGGGTAGGCCTAAGGTTTTCAGTGTGACCATCAAAATAATAGTTAGTGCTGTTATAGCGTTTAGTCATGTAAAGCAGCGGCCCATAGCTATTGTTTTGATTCGGTGAAAACTTTAATGATAAGTAGAGTAGCATAATGAGTCTTGCATTGTAAGAAATGTTTTAAAGAATTGTGTTTTGTAATAAAAGCAAAGGTTTCAAAAAAAAAATCCATTACAGTAAGCCTTGAAAGCGTTGGCTTGGGATCCACCATCAGTATGGATCCAATAAACACCCGTGGACGTAGCAGGAGATTGTTTGAGGAGAGTCTGGCACGAGGTTACTGCTGGGTACTGGTTAGAACCAGGGGTGAAGAAGTGTTTTGGTCTACAATCATAAAGTTGAAAATTGGAAAAACAATGAATTGGGGGAATTTAAAAGGCAAAAGTATATCGTAGTGGATCAAGACAATAATTTGCAGCTCTCACCTGGGTGGGGACTGGTTATTTCTGTGAGGTGGACCTGTATTGGAATTATGTAATACATCTCAGTTACTGCCATGCCCATGCTGTAAAGAGGAGCGGTAGCCTCATGGTTAGTGCGCTCGACTCCGGATAGAGTTGTGTTCTTAGGCAAGACACTTTACTCTCACAGTGCTTCTCTTCACCCAGGTGTACAAATGCGTACCAGCAAATATGCTGGGGGTAACCCTGCGACGGATTAGCATCCCATCCAGGGGGGAGTGGCAATACTCTTAGCCGCTTTATGCTAAAAGGAAACCGGGGTTAAGCGCCGGCCCCATGGGCCACTTGGGCCTGTATAAAGGCTTTACTTACTTACCATGCATGTAGACGGAATTGTTAACTCCTAAACTTTTACAACTGACTAAGAGAGAACTTCACCTTATAATATCAATACAGTATCAAGCTGACAAGTGATAAAAATGAAAATAAATATAAATTAGGAGATTATTAGTTGATCCAATACAAAATTCTCCGAGCGCGCGCACCTTATAAATATGCGCTTACGCGATTTTAATTAAAGTAGTTTTCCTTTTTTTACTTACAACGCACTGTTGATTTTAATCCTGAGTCCTTTCCGTAATTTTGTTGAACTGGAATTAAATTGTGCGAAGTTTTTTTTCATGAAATGATGTTCGGAAAAGAAATCGTTTTCGTTGTGAAAAATAAAAATAACCTTTTGACGGTAGGGAAAGGTAATTTAACTGAGTTATAATCTGAGAGCCGTGACATATTATTAATGCCAAATACCTTTCTTAAATAGAAAGAACCATTTGGCTGTAAAAGCCGATCAGCTGCTGAATTTGTCTCCATCTCGCCGCCGCGAAGGTAGGAAATCCTGGGTTCTCCAGAAAGTTTGCGCTCCTGCAAGAACCTTGGTTCGCACACGAAACGGAACAGGAAAGCAAAAAGTCAGTTTTTTCAGACCGAAAAAGGCTTTCGGAGTCGAAGTTGAAAAAGTGGTTTTCTTTGACATGAAAGAAAACGCCATATTCCCTTCCTTTAGTTGTCTTTGCCGATAAGGACAGGACAAATGCAAATAAGTATTTGACGTGTAGTAACATCTGTCAAGAGAAATTTGAGGTAAATTATAATTAGTAAACGTATAAATTACTTTCCTGTAAACAAAATAGTCAGACAAAACAGAAAGGGAGAGAAACTTTCACCATCCCTTTTCTTTTAATGGCAAAACACCGCGCAACACACAGAAACCTTTTTTTTGAGTAGATCTGCACCGCCAGTATTGTTTTTCGTGATCTTCGTTTGAAACTGCATTTTTCTGTTTGAGTAGAGCAATGCAGTTTGACGTTTTATTTTTCAACAATACGTTTTAAATTAATCCGAAATTCTGTTTTGACATTTTAATACAAAAAGTACAAGTCTTTCAGGTATATTATGCAAATATCATGACTTCTGGGTGAAAGTAATATGAAAATATCGGAAAGGTTGCAGTAAGCAGTCGAGAAACCAAAAATTTAATCATTTGCAAAGTCAAAGAAATATAGATATATAAACATATATCATCAGACAAGGTCGAATTGAGGTCAACCACAAAACGCGCAGCTCAGCAGTTCGAGGACTCTAGACTGAACATTGCTAAGGAGAAACGCAAGCGTCGAAAGGAGTCGACCAATCGAGCAAAGTCCTGCAGCGATCAGATCTTCCCCTCCCCCACCTGCTTAAGAATATGTAAATCCAGAATTGGGCTTATCAGTCATCAGAGGGCATACCGCCTCCAGTAAGGACTTCCTTCCCACTGATCTTCGGACTGCAAAGAATCTGCCACCATTACTTGCCAAGGAAAATTTCCCTTTTGAGTGAAAAGAAAAAAGCAATACTTTCTGAAATGCATGTCCTAAAACAAAATCTCCATGAGACCCTGAAAATGTATATAATCTGATTTGATTATTTGAATAAAATGTACCGCATATTTTTTGTATAGATACTGTTGTTTCATTTGTTATTCATTAACTGGCCAGCCATTTCAAACTATGTTTACTTTAAATTTGTTGCATTTATATACAGTAATGGATGCTTGATAATTTTCTCATGCTTGAACATTCTCCTTTTGGTTGTCTTAGAATCATCTAAAAGGATCATGGGTAGGCCAATGATCTTCAGATTAACCATTAAAGTGAGGACTGCTTCAGCGCATGCTCGAAGAGAACAGTGGTCAAGAGCCGATCTTTAACCTTGGGATTAGTTTGGTGAAATTTTGGAAGGGACTAACGAGGAAAACGGAATTGGATCAGTTTCAAGTTTGATGATAGTGCAGATTGTTGGCTACCATTAGTACACGTGTTGAAAGGGCATGCAAAAAGTATAAAATAGTAATCCAAATTTCAAAAAAAAAATTGAAAAGTTATCCTTTACGTTTTTCAATGATTTACATTTCGTTTTGTTTTGTTTTCTTTCCTTGAAGAGTTTTGTCTGTTTTGCCTTCATTCGTTCAAAGGTTCCCTCGACAAATGCGGCATGCGGAGCCATTTAAATCATCTATCCCAGAGAAGATAAGATGGCTTTACATCCGGTTAGAAAAAGAAGCTTTTCCATGCGAATAGCAGAAGGTTTATTGATCTTAAAAAGAGTAACTTTCAAGAAGAAGCTTTGCAGGGGAGATCGAGCAGCAATTAAGTCGCATGCCAAGAGAATCTGAACTTCGTTAATTAATTATTTGAAACTGAGAAAGTGTAAAATCTTTCATGAGTTTATTCAGAAATCTCGTTCACCCCTCACGGGAAAAGTTACACATCGGTGAACAACTAAGGTTCGTTAACTAACGGATGAAAATGTTCCCATGAGGCTCAGCGACGCTGTTCAACTGGTTGGGCTCACTTTTTCCACATGGATCATGGACAGGCCAGCCGTACTCCGTGAGAGTATCGAAATAATAATAAAAAAATAACATGTGGTCAAAGAAGATCGGTCCAGAGCCTGGGAACCTGTCAAAAACTGAAGGTGCTGGTGTATCTTTGCACGTGCTAGTCACGTGCTTAATGATCGTACAATTGATGTCACCGTTCTGCCAATCCACTAAGCTGCCATTTCCCGGATCACACACCAGCCAGTTGTTTATGTTGCTCTTGATGAGGATCTGTCTGCCAAGTTTTTTCCAGAGTGAGAAGTTCACAGCGTTGTAGTCTGTTTCATTTAATGGAGGAGTTGTGGAGACAGGAACATGCATAAACCCATCAAGCCAATCAGGCCAGTTTGCTCTTGGTGAGATCGCATTTGAACTATCATTAAAGTGACTGTAATTAGTGAAGGAATAACTCCATACTAGAGTCCAACCTCCACCATCGGTCTCCATGTCACAATAAGCCTTGAAAGCGTTGGACTGAGACACACCTTCAGGATTAATCCAATAAATACCCGTGGAAGGAGGGGGAGATTGGTCGAGGAGAGTCTTGCACGATGGGACTGCTGAATGCTGGGTTAATCCAAGGGGTGCAGGCGTGTTCTTTCCTATGATCAAAGAAAATGGTTTCCGAACTCTGCTTTAACTTTTAGGCACATAAACCTAAAAAGAGTTGTTTTTGTATGGCTGTTGTGTTAAATGTGTCATTTTGAGACGGAATAGGTATTTTTTGGTAACTCATTCTACCGAGCACAAAAGGTGTGGCAGCATCATTAATTTGAGGAATTGGTGTGTTAAAAATGACGAAATCCAGTTTTAGCCACTATTGTGCGAGGATAAATTTGCTGTAAACAAAAATCACATACCTTGTGGACTGGAGACTCCATGAGAGATAACCTATTAAGTAAGCCAAAAAGAGGCAAACTTTCGGGTGAGTAATAAACTTTGACTTACACTAGCTTACAAGCTACATTTTATCTGAACATTGACTTGTTTCTGATCCCTTTTTCAAGATGTTTGCTCTGATTGCCTGATCCTCATCAACTTAATATTTTAGTTTTCTGTTTAATGACTGTAAAAGCTAAGGGTAGGGTTTTTTTTTCTTAAAGATATTCAATTTTAAACTTCAATTTTATCACCTTTTCTTTATTGCCGTTCTCTCGTCTAATTTTTTAGCCAATAGTTGGAAAATTGTCCCAGAGTCATTTTAAGTAATCTGATTCAGAGTAGACGGGCACAACATGAAAAGAGAAGTATTTTTTGAGGCAACCGAAACTTGAAAATGTATTGATACAAATGTAAAATAAACATAGTTCCAAAACGGACTCGATAAAACATGCCGACTCCCATCTTCAGTCTTACTGATATTTTATTGATCAGGTTATAGCGGCTGTATGACATTACGGACATAAGAAAAATTATTTCCGGCTTAATGAAAAAGATTATGAAAACTCAATTGAAACTTGAACATGAACAAGTTGTATAAAAAAATTGCCATTGAATAAAACTGCCTAAAATATCCGGCTCTCACTCCATTCCTTTGCAATCGCACGGAGTAAAGAAAGAAATGGTAACACAGTATTAATCAGTAAAATCTACAAAATTCTAGGAATACCTTTTCTATGTAGAAAGATCCAACCCGTTTTACAAATCTCTCCACCTTCCTTGCCTGTTGTCCTCCGCCAAAGAGCGAACAGGTGCCTTCGTTTGCCAAGAAATTTGCTTCTTTACAAGCAGCTTCTCTCCTACACATTCGAGCACAGGTCATTATAGAGTCAGCCTTTTCACTTTGAAGAGCATTTTTATCATCAAGAAAAGCGTTTTCTTCTATGCGAAAGAACATGCCCTGGTCTTCATCTGCAGATATCTTTGGTGTTACCGAAAAAGCCCATATGAGAGCAAATATGTCCCAAGGAAAGATCTGCAAGAAAGGAATTTAAACTAATCTGATGACATAACGAAGAAAAATCAAAGTAGGAGGACCCTGTTGGATTATTGCTTATTTTATTACAAGAATTTGAAGGGAAGTCACTTACAAATCTTAAAGCCATCATCGATGGGAAAAGTAACATTGGGAGCAGATCTTTACTCCTCATGAATTTATCAAGTTTTGTTTGTCAAACAAAAATAAACGTAATGCATTCCAGTAAAACCTAAAAAGATTCTATGCTCTGTTTTATTTGTTAATACTTATCATAAATAAATATAAATATATATAAATAACAAATCTCTCTACCTTCTTTCCTTGTTGTCCTTCGCCAAAAAGCGAACAGGTGCCTTTGTTCGCCAAGAAATTTGCTCCTTTGCGAGCAGTTTCCTCTTCCACACATCCGAGCACAGCTCATAACAGAATCAGCCTTTTCGCTTAGAAGAGCGTTTTCGTCATCAAGGAAAGCGTTTTCTTCCATGCGAAAGAACACGCCCTGTTCGTCTTCTGCGGATGTATTTGGTGTTGACGAGAAAGCGCATATAAGGGCAAATACCTTCCACGGAAAGATCTGCGGAAAAGGGAATAAAAATCATATAAGACGCTAAAAGAAAATTTTCAGAGTCGAAGAACGTCGTTGGAATATTATTGGATTAGAAGACTTTGGGGAGAGGTCACTTACGAATTTTAGAGGCATCATTGACGGCAAAAGTAGCTATGTAAACAGATCCACACTCTTGGTGGTTTTATCGAGTTTTGTTTGTCAAACAAAAATACAAGTAATGCATCGAGTACAACGTTACTTAAAATTATTTCATGCTTTGTTTTATTTGTTAATTCTCGTTCCTCACTAGGGGAGAAATTATGAGGGTACCATTTTGTGGCTAATAAGAAGGGTTAAACCAGCCCAGGGTTCTGAACACATAATGCAAAACCTTGAGGAATAGTTCAGCTTTAATGAGCATTTTTTTGTGGATTGACTCAAAGAGCGCAAAAAGCGATCTGTGACGAACCTCCGGCCTTTGACAAAGGGTTAACGCTTGAAACGTCAGCTTAAGAAACTCTTTGCAGTGGCTAATTTACATAATCAGGTCAGTTGAAGATCCAAATTATGACTGTGAATATGTGAAAATCATATGTGTGAACTGCAGATAAAGACGTGAATATGAAAGCGATCTTCGCAGTAATGTACACTACTGAAGCAGTAATGAAAAAAAATTCAGGCCTGTACGGGATTTGAACCCATGACCTCTGCAATACCGGTGCAGTGCTTAAAAACGTACCCCCTGGGAGTATATAAAGCTATCTTATGAGAATGTATTTTTGGGCAGGTGGCTCTACTCAAAAACTCGAGTGGTTTTAAAAAGGTCCGCAAATAAAAATCAATAACGATTTATAAAAGCGATGCAATACAAGCAATAGATAACAATATGGATTTTAGACCTGAATAAAAGTTATGCCGGTAATGCTCAAGAACAAAACAGTTATTGTATCAGCATTTAAAAACCTATAAATGAAAAACTTGCAAAATGATCATGAGTTAGAACATAAAGTTGTAAAAAGCTTAAAAGAAATCTTATTCATCCTTTTGAGCCACGCTACACCAAACTGAAATTTCCGATAATGAGTGATATTTTTATTTCTATCAAGTCTATCTCGTTTCTTTATCCTTAAGTCATCACCTTCGAGTGAAAACACAGAAAACCTGCGTTAGCATTGTCACATTCAGACACCTCTAGCCGAGGGTTTGAGGCAGCGTGACGTCAATTATTTGATGCGGTTAGCTTTGAAGTTTTGTTTTCCCAACGGAGGTTTTGTGATACTGAAAACAATATGATTTATGCCCAAGAACATAAGCTGTCCTACAATTATTATCACTTTGGAGGGCGTTGAGAAAGAAAAAAACAAAAACAATGACATCAAAATCCAGAACTACTGACGCGAGCGTGTGAGCGTAATTAAACATAATTAAGCCCACCAAAATGTCCATTTGAACCCGCAAAATGTATCACAAAGCTCGACAAAGTGGTTATCTAGAGAACTCTCTCTTGAAAATTTCGTCCTTTTACTATGCATAGGTTCGCATAATTTACCAGGTTCCCCTGAGTCCTTCGTTGGGAAAACAAAACATATAAGCTAATGAGGTATATTGGTCCATGATTCCAAAGGTCAATTTTATTTATAATCAGATGAATAAAGTTCACTGACCTTTGTTTTCCTGAGTTGTTTCGAGTGATTTTTTCGGGTATTTTGACCGAGATGGATAATAAGACAGTTTTTAAGGCTTCTGATACATAAATTCATCCTGTTCAAGAGGGTGAATGAAGAAATAACATTAAGTAACATTTTAAGACCCAGTGACTCGATAACCACACCTTGTTGACCAAGTGGCCCGTCGCCTCGTCTTCCCCCTTCCCTCTTCACACCATCCGATGTCTGAAGTTTATGTTACAAATTGTCTTTCTAAATATGCTTCATGGAGAGCTTGTATAAATTTCCTGTACAGATCAACATAAATTTAAACGCTGAGAGTTTTCACCGGAAATGTTTTTAGAATTGAAAAGGATCTGTAGTGTTGCGTTACATAGTAGTATGTTGCGTTACCAATAAGCGCATGTATTCTGAAGGGTTCCTCAAAGTAGGAGGTCTCGCTAATGGCGTATCTTGTTATTTTGGCTCTTGTAGTTGTGATTGTGTTTTTGCTGGTTCGTGTCCTAAATCTGACGGATTCTTCTCATCCTCCAAAGATAGTTTCATCGGATAGCCATTTTACCAACACAGTCTTAGAGTCGTGTCCTATTTTTTTCGAAAGGTACGTAAATTCAAAGTGTCTACAAATGTGTTTACATCTTTCGATAACAAAACAGCATTCGGGTTCATGGTAATTAAGTAATGAGTTGTTTTCATCCTTTAAAATATTATTTCAGCTGCCATTTTACTGCCAAGCTTCTCTGTTCTTTGTATTGATCGGTTAAATCTAATTTTGTGATTTCGCGGTAACACAAAACATCATCGGTTTGGAAAGATGAAACTGTTTACATGCAAGCCGGTATATTCAATGTAGAAATTTAAAAAACTTATTCGTAGTAGCAGATAACGCTTACTGTGAAACCTTACGAAACCGGTTTTAACGAAAATTATTTCTTTATTAAAATGGTAAATTTTGGTTAGAAGGCTATGGTATTCCTACCGCTCAGAACGATATATTATTGTACGAATAATTTTGTAAGATGTCCAATTTCTTGCCAAACTAAGCAAGACCTTCGTGGATGCGCTCTATTATATTGCTATCATTAATTATTAAAGAAAAACCGGATAGCGCACAAAGTGCCGCATTTATATCTTAACTACTCGTTTCTCCTTCTCTCTGTTGTTTGAAAATCTGAGGTTTTAAATTTAAATTGTAATTTTTTTTAAATCTTCATCAAAACTTGCAGTAGTGAGTCCCTATTAAGTTAACTCTTGAAGTGTGATAATTATACCAACAAGGTTTGCATAACTGTTAACGCTTTAACTCCAGTGAGTGACCAAGATAGAATTTCTCTTTACTATATCTATACAATATCATGCATACAAGTGATAAGAATAAAGAAAAATGTCAATTATGGAATTACTAATTGATCCAATACCAAATTCTCCAAACTAAGATAATGAGAATTCTTTGGCTGACAGTAAGGAGAATTACTAATGAGATCTTGGGAGTGAAAGGATTAAGCTGAAGGGTACTGAATATTTAAGGAAGGCAAGAGACAAGTCTTAAATTTTAGCTGTTACATAAAAGTGGATGCAAAAAGATAAAATGTCTTAATAAGGAATTTACAAGTTGGCCTATGTATTAGATCTGCATTTACCACAGAGACCAACCAAACTCTCTTGGTGTAATGATCTCTACTTGACAATAGGATAATGGGTTTGAGATTTAATATATAATAACTCTACTAGTCCTTCACAACTAAACAGTTACAGTTATATTTCAGTTTTGAATGAAATAAACTTCATTTGACCTTCAGATGAAACTGAAGTAAAGCAATGATCCACGCAAGTGTGCAGCAACTTAAGCAACTGCAGAAAAGCAGCCTGAAAAAATTAAGGCTTTGATGGGACTGAAACCCTTGCCTTTTTAATACTGTTTGGGTTACTACAACTGAGTTGTGAAGCCATACATTGAAAGAAAGGCAAATTTTTTAGGAGTTCACCTTTTCTTTGAAGGAATCTGATCACAATCTTTGGCATTTTTTTTTCTGAAAAGAATCCTTTTTTTTTTGAAATCGAAATTGCTTCACTAGCAATGGATCTTTGTTTTATAATTTTTTTTTCTCCTTACAATATCAATGTAATGTTCACCAGATGAGAGATGAGAAAAAAGAAAAATATCAATTTGGGGATAATTAGTTGATCCAATACCAAATTCTCTGAAATAACATTCTAAGAATTGTATGGTTGACAGAAAGGAGAATTACAGATTTGATCTGGTAGTTAAAGGGTTAGGTCACAACTATTTACTGATTACTGAAGTGAAAGTTGTTAGTGGTGAATATTCCCAAGCTGGGAATTAGCGAGGTAAATATCAACCCCTAACCACCGACAGTGAGGTGAATAGTTGTTTTAGTATAAACTAAAACAGTGAGATAATGTCACAAAAAAAAATTTATTTTAACTCATTTATTGGTTCCAAATTCCACAAGAAGTGTGCATATGTGAATAGGAAAGGATGTTTAGAGTTTGAGTGACCAATGTTCTGAGGGTGTGTGTTCAGTGCCTTCCACTTGTTTAGTTTATACCTCTAATAATAGTTATTATTCACCAACAGGTATTCCCCCCCAGTCATTTGGGGAAAGAGTGGCCACTGCCAAACCCTTGTAGGAGCCCTGTTCGGTAGACGTGCTTGCCCAGAGTTGAAAGGAGCCTTACACACAACAAAGCTGCATGATGGCACTGTTGTCACTTATGAGATTTACTCTCCTGACGAAAATTCACTCTTGAGTGTTGAACAGGTATACAATCATGAGCTTATCACAGGTTTAAAGTTATGGTATAACATGAAAAAAGAGGTATTGACTTGCTTTAATTTTTTAAGGGCGTTTTGGTTGCTTACATATGCAAAACACAGGGAAAGGGATTAATTTATTTGAAGTCATAGCAGTATTATTAGGTAGCGGAAATATGTATATGTTTTAAAATGAGCTGATAAAAATGCTCTTGAGACAAACAGCAGCATTCATTTGGGGCTAGTGCATTGGTGAGGGTGTTCACCAGTCCCATTACTGTGGCCTCAATGGGTTTGATTGTCCTTGCTCAGAAGTTTTTTCTACAGGTCCTCATGTTTTTCTCCCTCCACAAAAACCAAGTTGAATTTTCTAAATTCCAATTTGACCCAGAAACAGCAGACAAGGAGAGCCACCTTATGGGCTGTCCACCTCTAAATTCCCATATAGCACATAATCTATAAGATGAGCACCTTATAGACAGTATCTCCTGTTTTCTGTACCAAGAATGAACTCATTTTTTAACAGAACTATACATTGCTGTATTATTCAGCTAGAACACATGAATGGTCTTAAAAGAGCATCATAGAATCATACAATATCTTCAGTAAGAAGACAAGGCATACCATGTGTAAATGATTTTTAGAGATGCATTGTGCAGCTTTCACTGCCAGATCTCAAGGATCTGAGTAAATGTAACACGAAACAGTTCACCTTTTTGGGAAAAACGATCAAAGAGTAAATAGATTGTAAATTTCTGCCAGAATAACTCAAAATGTTTTGCCAGTTCCTTTTGTGTTTTTAAATAAATCTTGGTTGATCTGAGGCTCATGTTCTGTTACCAATTTCTGTCATCTTATTTATAAAATTTGAGATAATTTCTCAATCAAATTTGTTAGTGAAATCAATTGAACTACCTGGAGAGTTTCACAGGCTTAGCAGCCCTGAATAAAAATCTTGTAATCTCAGTGACAAGAGAGTGTCATTCAGCACAATAAAACATGTTGATATCACAAAGATTATGATCAGTTTGCATCAAGGAAACCAATGTTTATTGAACTGCTTGAAATTTGGCGAATTGACCAGATACTGTACATAATTATGGATAAGGAGGGGAATTTGACAGCCACCTTGATAATAAATATACAGTTGTTTTGTGTTGGGAAATTTTTAAAAAGTTAAGAGTGTCAGGTGAGATGAGAAGCCCTAAAAAAAAATAAAAGCTACCTTGCTAATAAATATACAGTTGTTTTGTGTTGGGGAGTTTTTACAAAGTTAAGAGTGGTCAGGTGAGATGAGCAGCTCTGAACAAAAGTCTTGTAATCTCAGTGACAAGAGAGTGTCAGTCAGCACAACCAACAGGTAACAGTGTACAGAACTAACATACTTTCCCTTTTTTGAATGATCCAAGGAGAAGCCTACAATCATCACAGTCCCAGGAATTGCTAACTGTTCCGAGACAAAGTATGTGCGCACATTTGCTGACTACGCCATTCACCATGGCTTCAAAGTTGCTGTTTTAAATCATTTGGGAGCAAAGGAAGAGGGTGGATTGTCCACTCCAAGGATTTTCACATATGGTAATTGTTAGCTATCTACTCCTCAGTGAAATTTTTCTATGGATCAATAGACAGTGTTAATGTAATTATGTTTTACAGTCAATTCACTACCTCAACAAATTCTCCACCACAAAACTCGCTAACACTGAGTCACATGCTACTTAATTGATTTCAGGTGATATAATCATGGATTAAATTTTATATGAAAGATTATTCTTAATTCAATTTTAGTGGTTCCACTTTAAGGGACTGTTCAATACAGATAGAGGACAATAAAAAATGGCTGTTGGGACTCAGAAAAGGGTGACCATGACCCCCTTCATAGAGATGGTTGCTTACTAGGGGTGAAAATTACTGTGATTAAGGGAAAGAAAATTTAGGACATTGACTACTGGCCACTAAAATACAAGGTGACTGCTTACAACAGGTTCGACTGTATAAGGAAAATGGTTCCATTTAGAAATCGAAAAAAATGTGTTGGATGTAATTGAAACCAAACCAAAACATGTTACTAATAAAACTGGTGTGATAACAATATAGGTGGTACAGAGGAACTGGCTGCCATGGTTACACACATCACCTCTGTGGGTAATCACCAGCGACTTATTGGAGTCGGGTTCTCTATGGGTGCAAACATTTTGATGAAATATCTAGGAGAGGAACCTTCACGGCAGGAGTTATTTGAATGTGCTGTGTCTGTGTGCCAGGGATATGATATCTTGAGGTAAGAGATCTGCAAATTTGAATTTTAGTCATAACTTCAATGACTTATCAGTGTACCAGCTAGGGAATTTCTTGAAGCTGATAAAGAGAAGGTTAGCTCCTTGTTGGGGAAAAAGGTTTGCCTTAACCCTTTACAACTCTATAGCCAAACATCATTATGCATGTTCTCTTTGTTTTCTAAACATTTCCTATGGCAAGGAGAGTTAGAGTAATCAAGAGCCTCTTTCATAAGCAATCATTTCCTTAATTTTCATGACCTATTTATAAGATTTAGCAGTGATGTTGTAAGAGAAATTATATGCCTGTCACTTCAAGGGCTCAGAGTTAAATCAACTAAAATTCACAGAATAGCTTATTACTGAATATCAAATTACAGATTCACTGATTGAGGTTATGATTAACCTCCTTGACTCTCTGATTCATAAGGGTGACTAGCATCTATTTTCTCCTTACAATATCAATACTGAATCATACTTTAAGGTCACAAGAATGACGGGAATGATTACAAACTAAAGAAGCTCTTGATTAAATAATGATTTTAGATATGTGAATTTCACATATCTAAAATCATTATTCATCACTTGGATGGTTTATTTGGACCCAACATATTGACCAGCTCCCAGTTGGCTTGTTAGTTCAGTTGGTAGAGCACTGCACTGGTATCGCAGAGATCATGGGTTCATATCCTGTACGGGCCTGAATTTTTTTCAGGTCCTATTTTCAACTACTAGTTCAGTAGTGGTCTTAGGTGTAAGGAGCTCTTAAATTAATCTCTTGATTGTTAAACAAATTCTCTTTGTCGGCACCCTCAGGAAATGTATGGAGCACAATATGGAAAATATGCATACTGATATCAGGGTTGTATAAAGGTTAATAATTGATTGACAGGCAGACCATCAACTAACTGAGTGACTGTCAAACTAAATTATGGACTGACTCACACTGACAGACTAAATTACAAATTTAGCTGACTTACTTGCTGAGTGAATAAAGGGTAAGTTTCTAAAGAAACTGTGGTGCTGCGTGGGTGGGAGAGTATAGCAGGTAATTAAGTGTTAATAACTGAGTTGAAAACGTAAATTAGCCTCCGTAAAGGGTAAAAAAGCTGACGTTTCGAGCGTTACTCACTAAGTGCTTCGCAAATTGTCTACCTGACTGATGGATTATGGAATGGATTCATGGACAGGTGGACTCACGGACTGACTGGTATATAACAGGCAAGATGATGAATATCTAACCCTCTACACCCCAAAATCAGTATCCATATTCTTCTCTATACATTTCCTTCTGTACTGTCAAGGAGTATTAGTTTAACAATCAAAGCTTCGTGGGTAGGCGATCATTTCCTTTATTCTCGTGGTCTTAATGAAAGATTCAGCAGTATTGCTGTAAGGAGAAATTAGGTATTGGTCATTCTAAGGGTTGAAAGAGTGAAACGTAAACTTTTAACGTTGCTACACATGTATTGTTGGCGATCTCTTCCGTGATTTGTAGAGCAAAGACTCTCCTTCACGAATGGGATGGACTACGACGTTTCTACAACTGGGGCATCACCCAAAGCGTGAAAAAGGTACTCGACCGCAACATGAAGGTTTTATTCCAGTGCCCCAAATTTACTTCATCTGTTCATCATGTTCGCTCGTCTTCTTCCCTTGTGGAGCTTGATGATGCATATGTCAAGTGAGTAACATTTTAGAGTACTCTTCAATTGCATGCTGTGAAAGCGAAACCATAGTAACCACAGCAGCCAATCAGAACAAAGAAAAATTTCGCCGATGGCAGCTGAAATGATCAAGCAAACTGTCTGAAGCGCAGAAAATCGTGAACAAGTTGTATGAATCTAATTATTTGAGGAAGTGGCTAAGTTTATTGGCAAATCAAAGAGCGTGTTAGAAAGTGTCTGCGTAACAGAGGTGCGACTGTGATACTGTGTAATTAAGGGAGAATTTGAATTTTTCCTTACCTTAACTCTAGAAAAATGGCGGGATTCCATAATTTGGACGAGTTTTATGCTGTCAACAGTTCCTGTAACTATATAAACCAGGTAACCTCTCTCTGTAGTTTTTGTTCTTGTCTTTTTTCTCTCTTTTGGTATAGTGACTTCTACGTGTTTTCTCTTCACAGATTAAGATCCCAGTGTTTCTTTTAAATGCCTCAGACGATCCCCTCATACCTGAGGAACTGTTTGATACGCCATACAACCACGTCAGTAAGTATTAGGTGTTTGGACCATTAATTGGTGAGAAGGAGTTCTATTATATGGTCTTGACAGGTACATTATATGCCGCCACAAAAGGAACCTTTTACGAGGCCTTGTTCTTAAACAGGATATGCAGTTTTACTTCTTGGGGGCGGAGCTCGAACAAAGTCCCTCCCATACGTCGGGGCGCTGCGCTAGAGGAGATTTTGTGGATAACTAGGCATCTTGATCGCTGACGGGGGTGGACTGATGGAGAAATATGGAGAAGATCTCAGGCCGGGCTCAGTTTTGTGTTCTAGGGCGAAACTAAAACTTTTCCGTCACTATGCCTCGATCCAGTCAGAGTGTATCTGTTTACCAGCAAATTTTTAGGTTGGAAAACTTGTTGAACCTCCGGGGCAGGGGTGAGGGGAGTGGGGTTGCCCACGATAAACTAACATCCCCCCAGGAAGATTAGTAATACACCCCTATTCGCTTCATAATAGGAAAGCAAGGAGAAGCCTCGGAAGTGAAGTCCACGTGACTGTTAATACTTGACTTGCCTTTTTTCCTCTCTGTCTTTAGAATGTAATGAATCAGCTGTGTTTGTCGTGACTCATCATGGTGGCCATCTTGGATTTTACGAGGGAGGGTTTTTTACTGTTTTCCCTTTGACCTGGCTCGACAAGGCCGTGATACAGTATATCAAGGCGGTTTTAAAAGTGAAAAACGAGGGAAAATTATCATCCTTGTCCGAGCAGGACGAAGAATATGTTAGTGCATCCTAGCATTCGCCGGAAAGTGGCGGTTTTGTATATCTCCTTCGTAAGTTTTTTTTTACGATCCTAAACTCCAGTTTTACCCAATGACCACTTCAGTTTTGCGTGATCTTAGGTTTTAGGGACAACAAAGCTATCGGCAGTGGCCATCATCTTTAATCATAAAGCTGTTCACGATTCATTTCAACTGCATTATTACTGTTGGTTTGTCAAACCTCGGGATTATCTCAACGTAAACATTTTAGAAATTTAATTATTTTTGATAAAACAGTCGTAACATTCGAATTAGGTAGAATGCTTTTGTGAAACGCTGTCACAAGTTTAAAGGGAATTAAGGGAAATTTTTATAATAGGAAATATTCTGATTAAATAAACTAGTCACAGATAACTTCGTGATAATAATGATATTGACAAACATCGATTAAAAACTATTTTCCAACAATAAAACATATCTTGTAACTAATTCATCATAGTAAATCAGAGATGAAACCTTGATGGTAAGGCTTCTTGAAAACATGAAAATGTTTACCTTAAATCACGCCAGAAACCCAGTAATTGTTATGTTGTTTATAAAATTGTAACTTTTCTCCGACAGAGAACCCCTCCATTGCTAAAAATTCCTAAACTACACGCATATATCTAAACTTTGTTTCAACTGACCGCTGTAATAAAGCTATGCGTAAAGCAAAATAACAATCTCAAACTTTTTCCTTGTCAAACTTCGACATCCTTTCGGTGAATGATGTTGTCTTTCTTGTCCTTTCATTGTATTTAGTTATTTTTCGGTATTTATGTGTTTTTAGCGCATTCATCTTTGCCCAATAGAAGCTGCAAAAAGTAGAGGAATAATTTAGGAATTGTTCGTGACCATCACCTCGATGATACACTATACAATATTAATAATTATTTATAATTAATAATAATAAAAATTATTAATACACTATATAGCAATCTGAATTATACATGCTTTTTGATTGGTTCTTACTTATAAGCTATTGAAGGATAGACGCATGGATGACGTCATCATTTACAACATTTCGTCATCATTAAGAAACAGATATAATCCATGTTGTCGTGGGTCTGTACTGGGATGGATCGCAGAAGACGTCAAAATGCGGTAGGAATATCGATGGTACACCCGGCTGCCCTGTGTGTGCCACTTTTTTGTTCAGTCCCCGGCGATCTATTCCTGTACAGACCCACGGCATTATAGAATCTGTTTGTTAAATAAACAGCAAGTAGCGTAATCAATCAGATTTCGGCATTTGTGATAGAACACTGATGGATTAATGCGAAAATGAGTTATTACCTTTTTCATTACGGCTCGTATGCTGACACTCTTTTCCCTTTCGTGTCGGTCGTAGATTTTGCTCAAAATATCACACTTTTGTTCTCCATAATTGAAGCCTTGGCATTGTGGAGTTCTCATGCACAGATCTTCACACTGTAGCTTGGATACAACTTGATATGTGACCATTACATCGCCTTTCATTTCTTTCTCCAGTAATGGAACATTAATAGTCGAAGTGATGATAAAGCATCCTGAATTTTGAGCCCTTCGGAAATTTACAGGATCATCATGTCTTCGGTGCTTCGAACCTTATAATGCAATTTAAGATAGAATCAGCGAAGTCTTGAGAAATCAAGGAATATTTCGCGTGCAATCAACCTCCGTTCAAGAAATAGGAGAAATATGAGTCAAGAGCGGCTAAACGGTTAGAGTGTCAAATGCAAATATCAAATGCATTTTGTACATTCATTATTTATTTCGTCCTCACCCTAGCTAAACGAAAGCTTTTATATCATGGAGCCAATTTATGTTGTCCTTGATATTTCGTTCTAAATGAGTAAGAAATTATATTTCAGCGAGAGATAGTTTCTCGATGTCAGTTAATCGCACGAAAATTAACTTGAAACAAAGTCATAATCCTGCGCAAAGCATTTGTTTTAATCTTTGATTCTGGTTAAATAGTCAGACGAATTTTTTTTCTTTATCACTGATCCCTCGTTTTTTGTCTTTTTTTAAATACATGGTCATTTCAATACCTTTAAGTCTAAGTTCAGCATCTATTCAATTTAAAATAAATACCCCGATTTCCATCATTTCCAGTAGCCGAGCACCGATATGAAAACTGTGACAGTCTTCCATAAAAAAAAAAATATATATATCATAGCTTACCTTTTCCTTCAAGAAAAGACGAAGCGAATGTTAAAACCATCACAAATTCGGAAATATCCATTTTCCAAACGCATACCTAAAAGTTAAATGACATAAGGTACAAGATGAAGAGTCGAGGCCCAATTAATTAGTCCTTAAAATTTTTGTAAGGTTAATTGAAATCTGAAATTTAGCGGTAAATAAAGAAATGAAAATGTCCTCTCGAGGAAAACAGCAACGTAAGTGTGTAATACACAAATCACCTTTACTATACCTTGATCAATTTTAATTGCAATGAATAACGAAGTAGTTGGAATTCACAGAGAGAAATATAGCACGGTTCAGTATAAACTTCCGTAACGAAACTGCTCTTGTGAAAATTTTTGTATACATGCAATTCAGCCTAGTGCTTTTTAAGATCAAAACAGATACACAAGTCCGCAAAAATACGAAGCAAAAAAAAATTTAAAACAGAGCTAACGCGGCTACAAAGTATTTCAAATAAATAAAGCTGCGAACGAGACTAGAGTGAGAAAACTGAGTGAAAACCAATGGAGTAACATACCTGTTTTATAACATGCCGCGTTCAGCAGCTTTCCATGTTATCTCTCGTATAGCACAGATATAATTAGGTCGTGGTTTACATATTCCAATTTGCACTTATTTAAGGGGTTTGCCATCTGTTATCGACTGAATTTTCCCTTGCTGAGTCAACACTGGGTAAACGCTTGCTTTTCCTACAGATTTCCTTCTTTGATTGGCTTCCAGCGTTGAGTAATCAAAGGATACAATGCTCTTAATTCTAATTGGACTTAATGGATAGTTGATGCTCATGTCAATCTAAAAATACCAAGACTTTATTATTTAATATAATGCACACCGCATTTTATCCACATGTACATCTAAATTCTCAATTTTTTTAATAAAAACTAGAATATAGATATTTAGATGACATCTTAGAACATGATTTGCATTGCTTGGGAGCATACAAGAACTGAAACTGTGTGACTTATCATGTTATCAACGAAATTCGTTCGACTAACTCGTCCCTAGAGGGCTCCCATGCATATAAGTTAAATTAAGGGACCAGTCAGGAAGCGATCGGACTTGGCGTTTAATCCATAGCCAGGATTTTTCAAAGGTTGGGGGGTTACACTGTGCCAAACAGAGGGTACTCACAAGATTGTCATGTCAACCTTTCTGCCGTGTCTTCCTTTAAGAAGGAATACAAAGGAGATCACAGGCACCCCAAGACCCCCTCCTCCCCCCACCCACCTCCCCAGCTACGCCCTTTGGCACAGCTATTGGGCAGCTTGTTTTAGACATTGTATGCGCAACAGGAGTGGTAATGGGCTCCTGATGCGCAACCGCTCTCAAAATGGGCATGATGAGAAGAGCTTTAGACTGGTGGGTTCATTTTCAAAAAAGGCTCACAAAGGGGGGGTCACAGGAAGCCCCGAACCCCCCCCACACACACACACACACACACACACACACACACCTTTGGCACAGCTATTGGGTAGCTCATTTCAGACAGTACTTGCAACCACTCTCAAAATGGGCACCACAAGAAAAAGCACAGGCCCCGGTTGTTCGAAAGCCGATTAGCGCTAACCCACGATTAAATCGCCCTAACCCAAGAATAAAATTTAACCTACGATTAGTTTCTGTTCCTGAAAGCGCGATTAGCACTATCCCAGGGTTAAAATAAAGGTTAACTTTAACACACCTAGCGAGGTGGATTAACTCACTAATCGAGGGAAAACTTTCCCCAAACAAAACAAAATGGCCGACTTATTACTTGGCGGATTAGGCTTAATGCCGGCCCCAAGAAGGAAAGAAAGGACATTTAGGCTACCAGACGACTTTTCCCTGTCCAATTTTACTGATGAAGAATTGAGAAGTCGATATCGTTTTGGCCGAGAGTCCATAGAATTTTTATCTGAGCTCCTTCGCGACGATCTTGAAAGAGATACATCTCGAAACCATGCTTTGTCGACAACTGTGCAAGTCCTTGTAGCGTTGCGCTTTTTCGCCTCCGGAAGCTTTCTTCAAGTTATTGGAGATACTCTGGGCCTGTCAAAGTCATCCGTGTCCCGTATAATCGGTCAAGTTTCGCTTGCCCTTGCACAGAAACAAAGAAACTTCATCAAGTGGCCATCGACCGAAGAGGAGATACTTCAAAACAAACGCGGTTTTTTTACCAAGGGGGGATTTCCTGGGGTGATTGGCTGTGTTGACGGCACTCACATCAAGATTCAGGCACCACATGAAAACGAAAACGATTTTGTCAATCGTAAAGGGTTCCATTCCATAAATGTGCAAGCAATTTGCAATCACAAAGGTAGGTAAAATACTCAAATGTCACAATTAGTGTTCTATAAAAAATTGCAAAATAACCTTTGGCAGGGAGGGGTACTCCCCTTATAGAAGGTTTTAGATTGAGATTTCTAGCACACCAGCTGCTATGGGGTTGCATTGGTGGGAGTTACTAGATTGCAGTTTCACATATTCAGGAAATGGGAGTGGTGATAAAATTTTTTTTTTTTTAATATTTTTTGAGTCAAATGGTATAGGTGGAGTTTGGTTTGCAAACACACATACGGAAAATTTACCAAAATTATCACACCAATATTTTAGTGACAGTATAAAAAAGTAAAAAACAAGGGAAAAAAGCAAGAAATAATGTGGGATATTTGTGAATATATTGCTCAGCTAATAACCAACAGAATGTAACAATCAGCAGGGATTTCAAAATGATGCAGTCTCCCAAATTTCAAAAACCAAATTAAACAATGAAAAGGTTTTCCAAGTAAACTAAATATTTGTATCAGTTACCCCAGTTCATCATAGACACAATTATTGTTGTTTCTCTTTGCAGTACATTATTGTTATAAACTGAGATGAGATTTTCTACATCATAGGTAAGAACTGGTCACATAACTTCTTTGCTGTTTCATTTTAGGCATGTTTACCAACATTGTAGCACGATGGCCAGGCAGCACCCATGACAGCTTCATATTTAGGGATTCAAAAATTGGCCAACAACTGAATATCCAACACCAGTCCCTGGAAGATGGTTTACTGTTGGGTGACAGTGGTTACCCTTGCAAGCCGTACCTGATGACCCCTTACCTGAATCCAGTCACTGACAAGCAGCAAGAGTTCAACAGTGCCCACAAAAGAACAAGAGTGGCAATAGAACAAGCCTTTGGCTGGTGGAAGCGAAGGTTCCATCTGCTTCATTCTGAGATCAGAATGAAGCCAGAAAAAGTGTCCATCATTATCGGAGCATGTGCAGTTTTACATAACATTGCAATTCTGAGAAAGGAACCTTTGGATGGCTATGCTGAGGCTGATGATCAACCTAATCTTGTTTGCTTCCGGGGTCCAGAGGATGGCAAGGTCATCCGAGACCACATCTGCAACACCTTTTTCTGACAATTTTTAATTTTTGTATTTCTGCCTTACGCAATCAGTTTTGCTCTTAATTTAACTTCCCATAAAATATAAAAAATTCATATATGCATTTAAGGGGTTTCTGGTTGAAAAAACACATTAAAATAAGTTTGACTCAAGAATCTGTTTTATTACATTAAAATACATTTTGAGAACAAAATACATTGTGTATGTTTTATAATAAATTATACGAGAACAACATTTGCCCAAAATATTTCTTTAAGAGGACTTATTACACTATTCCTCCTTTAAAATGAATCGGTGTTGGGAACTACAAAATTTGAATTTAATGCAGTTGCGAAGGTTTGGTTTGCATTGACCTGTTGCTCCAGAAGATGAATTTGCATTTTCAATTTTTGTTTTTTAAGATTCAACATTTCCTTCTGAGTTCACAGGCATTCGTACTGCATTTTTAAAACATCGCCATTACTTATCCTTTTTGAAGGCTTCCTCTGTTCATCAGCCTTGGCTGGTGAAGAATGCATGTCTTCATTAAGGCTCAGACAGTCTTCTTCAAACACAGTCTTCGCAGACTCTGCTGGTAAATGAGCATCTTCTCCTACAAAATATTTCAAGCACAATTAAGGTTTCACTCAGGCTCAAAAAGTGTGAATTTATTTTTATGCATCACATAAATGAAATAACAGAAGGAGCATCTCTCCCGCAAGGAATCTGAGGCTTAAACATGTAAAAAATAAATTATTCAATTTCATAAAATGAATTTGTGTACTGGTAGACTTAACTCAGTGAAATCATTTACGAAAATGCTTATAAAATCTGTAAATCATGTACCAAAAGTTAAGCTTATTTTAGACAGATAAAGGGGAATCAGAGTGAATCGACAACGAGAACCGTACCACAGTTTAGTGATCGAAAAAATAGGACATGATAACAGGTACAACAACAAATTATTTCGTCAATCACAAACATAAACAAAGTTGCGTCAAAACGAAATAAAAAAAATTAGTTATTTATACATGTAAATAGCCGATCGTAAATATTTGAAGAACACTCCTTAGTACAAGATAAATAAAGAAACAATAGGAGCACTTTGTCTTTGGCAAAACGAATTTTAACCAAATTATAAACCGTATCCAAGACATTCTTCGAAATCAAAGGTTTTTGTTTCACTCATCAGATCGCTTTCCAAAATGACGGAGCTATGCAATCTTCGACATATGAATTAATCAAGTGAAGCTGAAATTTATATATATGTCTGCTAAATTACTGACAGTCCGTCATGAGCGTTCGTCTATATTCAGCTTAAACAGGGTTTAATCGAATGCAACCCTATAAATGCCGCAAAAGCAGCAAACCGGTTTGGAGTTCTCCGTAGCAGCTTTCGCTTAGTAAAGTACACTCATGAAATGTGACGGGATAATAAACTAAACTAGGTAAAACTTGATTAATACAGTTACGGATATTGGAAAAAAAAACATGCAAACTTATCTTTTCCTCCCTTGTGTCCGAACATTTCGTACGCTCAAAGACGGGAAAGCGATTGATAAGCTGAAAACCCCGCCGAAACAACATGGCCGGCTGACTGTCTACAATTTTAAAATTTTTGGTAACCTAGAAACAATAGAGAATTGTTTACAAACCTGTCTCAAAGCCAATCAAACCGCTGAACGCCGGCGTGTCCTCAAGCACCTCAATAATCTCTTTGCTGGCAACACTCGGCGACTTTGGACGCCGACCACCTCCAGTTATCTTGGTCTCCCTCTTGAATTCTGCAAATTCTTTCTTGGCGATACTATGGAGATTTTTCCACTAGTCTTTTACCTCCGTGACTGTTCGCTTGGCTGTTCCGACTGCATTTACCGCTTGGGTTATTTCTTCCCATAGCATTTGTTTCTTTTTGTTGGTCACAGCATTCGTTAATTTGGATTGGATTAAATCGAGATTTTTTTTGACATTATCGGTGATGACTTCAATCTCATAAACTGAAAAATTATGCTTTCTTTTTCTGTCTTTCGTTTGGTTTCCACTTCCATGTGCACTCTCCCTTTCCGCCATTTTTTCCCTCCAATTTTTTTTCGCGCGTAGCCGCGTAGCTCTTAATAACCGGTTTGACTGGTTTAACCTCAGCTTAATTGTGGGATAGTTAATCAAGGGATAAATCTGCTTTCAGGGCCCGGTTGTTCAAAACTGCGATTAGCGCTAATCCACGATTAAATAGGCTAATCGCCGATTAAATTTAAGTCGCCGATTAGTTTCTGTTGTTCAAAGCCCGATTATTCCTAACCTTCGATCAAACCAAGGGTTAAATCTAACCCTGCTCGCTAGGTGGATTAAATCCTTAATCGGCACATTAAAAAATAAAAATCACAACATGGCTGACTTGTTGTATGGTTGTGTTGGTGTTGATGGGCGAAGAAAAAGGAAGCAAAGAGAGTTTAGGAGCATCGGTTTCACGATAGATGGATATACAGACGAAGAATTAAGAGCAAGGCAGACTTTTCGGGCGCCATTTGTTTTTTTGTTTACATGGGAGTACATGTAAAAGAAAATAAGAAAGAAACAAAAGTCTAAAGTCCGTTAATTTTCACTTTGCTTTGTGTTTGTTAGCGAAGTATACATTTTATGCAAGGTATGGACATTGAGAGGTATTACAATAATGTTTCCATTTATAAACTTACCTGTTTCAAACCCCTGTAACCCAGTAAATGACGGTGTGTCACTGAACATGTTTATTATTTTTAAACTGGCTTCTGATGAGTTCGGGGAGCAGGGCCACCACCTGTCTTCTTCTGTTCACTTTTAAAGTTAAGAAATTTAATCGCCGATTAGGCCTAACGTTTATTTTAAAACCTTATTTTAAACCTAGATTAGCTATCCTTGGGATAAGAAATTTAATCGTCGATTAACCTCTAATCGAGGGATAATTTAATCGGCTTTCGAACAACCGGGGCCTGAGCTCTAAACCAGTGGGGTCATTTTCAATTTCAAAATTTATTTGAGGTCGTCCACTTTATGAGACATGAGAACTCCTATTGGAACCATTGTATTTACAGAAGAACTAACTAAGTGATTCTTGCTGCACCATATTCACTTAATGCTACAAAAAGCATTGTGACAATCAGGTGTAAGTCAAATTACTTATTACACTATACCTTGAGATATATACCATACAAGATTCTTCTCAGATGTGATAGGAATTTCACAAAAATAACCATAAGAAAAACCAAAATAATCAGGAATATTAAAAGAAATATAAAACCCACCCATTCATACATCAAGAAACATTTATAATAACTTTTTGGAAGTTGTTTTGTCTGTTCTAGGTTCTTTGCTACAAAAATAAACTCCACCAACCCAAGATTATGCCCTACAGCTATTGCAGAAGCAAAGTCACACCTTCCATAATCTGTCACTTTTTTCCTAAAATAAAAACCGGGTATATCTACCGGTTGAAGTCCAATTTCTTGGGCTAAGATACCCATGTAGGCATCTTCAACAGGGAATGCTGGTCTCCTCTCCACTGCTTTAAATAGTGAAGGAAGAATATCAGTTGAGAGGACGTAAAAAGCACCCGTGCAGTAAGGAGGATAGAGATCTTTTGCCAAACAGTCTCTCGCAACGCGGTTTTTCCTTTTCTCTCCTCGTCTCACTTCACCGTCGCCAATAACGAAACCGCCGTATAATTTATCCCCTGCATAATTATTATTTGCATAATTATCCAGCCATAATAGCAGTCCAGGAACATGAACATAAACATCGTCATCTGCTTTGAGGATAAAACGTGGGTTTACATGAATCAAACTCCATAGCAACTCAGACAAAATCTTAATCACTAAATTTTTGTAACTATCCGCCATGTCCAGCACAAGAATGTCTTCAAAAAAGGCCGCTTCTTGGCGAATTTCTTCAGAATGTTCGGCGCTAAGAGCTTTGCCTATCACAAAGACGCGCTCCCAGTTTCTCTGGCCACTTTTAATTGACTTATCACCCCATGTGTTACGGACACTATTTCGTCGCTCTGAATACAATGTTCCAACTCCAGATGTGATTAAAACCAAAAGGAAAATACTTGTGTTGTTGGTGTGGAGGGTTGGTTGCGTGACATGAGAAGCGAATGAAAATGTCAGCTGAGAGCATTGCGAACGTACGTCCTTGAGTCCAGAGTATTTGGTTGAAATGTCATTGATACTCGAAGAAATACCTTTAATTCGTCCCTCCAATTCCTCTTCCTTCGTGAAAATTCTTTTTGATTTAACATCTTGATGGTACAGGTTTAAATAAATTACCACTATAGCGACGTGAAGAAGTCCTACAGCTGTGACAATTTCACAAAATGCTCTTTTCATTGTGCTATTTTACACACAGTGGATATTTTTCACAAGTCAATATTGCTCCATCTCATGGTTTTTAAAGAAACCCCACTTGATACCTACAATCTAAATCGTCAATTTTCAAGTTCGTACCTTTATGGCCGCAAATCCACAGAAGAAAGAGTCGTATTCAAATTTCCTCAAGCGACGCCAAAACATATGTCCTTTTCACAATTCAAATAGATTTCCGCACACCAGAAATTACAGCGGGCTCGAAAGAAGTATTACATGGACTGGACTTTTCAATTGCTGGACTTGAGAAAAGAAAGATCAGGTTCAAAACCAGTAAATACCTTGTGATGTTCATTAGAGCTGGCATCTTCATTTTAATTTACTTAGGAGAGCTAGTGTTTTGGAAAAATTCGTTTATGCTGAGAGTTAAATCTATACCAATCAATGTGGTCGGTAGGCGTATAATCATTTCGTTCAATATTTCTCCTTACCTATCGATAACGCTGCTTGTCTTTTTAAATTTTTTCTTAGCATATTTGTGTATTTTATGTCCCAAAAGTCTTTTGCAATAGAAGATTTTGTTTTAAAATCGTTCAGTTTTTAGAATTTTCAACTTTAAGCTACGCCATTTTCTAGTTGTAAATTCTAGTAACCAGAAAGTCATCAAAATATGCAAATAACATGAAATACGTTCCCCAGGGATTCGCTCTGGTACGGGATTATGACAACTTCCTAATCTATTAACTTTTATTTGAAAATACATTTTTCTAAATGACTCGGGTGCTTTTGCAGATTGAAAAACTTTTTTCTTTTGGAAACGTTAAGTAAAATTTTTGCATTCAGTTAAGTCAAAGAAGAGAAAAAAATTATTTTTTCGGCCTCTGAAGATGGGACTGAGTAACCTTCAAGAATTAACAGACTTAGTTAGCAATAGTCCATTTACAGCTGTGTGCTGCCAAACCTTTGAATAGGAGTGACGGCTAAGGATGACCTTGTTATGATAAAAACCTTGCTGCTTTTCAAAAGTAAATTACTTTAGAAAAGATATCTTTTTTTTCGTCTTGTCACGAGCGTAGGACAAAGAAAAAATTCTGAGTCCCTATGAAGAATCGAACCTTAGACCTCCGGATTCCGCGCTCCGATGATCCAACCACTGAGCCAACCACTGAGCCAACCACTGAGCCAACCACTGAGCCAACCACTGAGCCAACCACTGAGCCAACCACTGAGCCAACCACTGAGCCAACCACTGAGCCAACCACTGAGCCAACCACTGAGCCAACCACTGAGCCAACCACTGAGCCAACCACTAAGCCAACCACTGAGCCACAGAAAATCCTGACAGACTTTTCATAAGAGCGGACAGCGCAAGAGTCCTGGATCGAGTTACATAAAAACGCGGTCATTAAGGTCAAACTACGAGTACTTCGAATGTTTCTAATCCGATATTTCTTACGGAAAACGATATATCTGGTGCTTCTCTTCTTGGAAGAAAACCTGAGGAGTTAAAATTTTCAGAGCTTAAATTTTGGCTTAAATGTCGTGGAGACGCGGGGAAAGGATTGAAGACAAAGCAGAGCTGGTGAAGCGAGTGCATAACTACAAATGACTACATACGAACAGGCAAAGCTAAACAGGTTGTGGATCCAGATTCTCACAAAATATACAGCCGTAGAAAGGAAAAGCAAGGCACGAGTTCTGAGCCTGACACTAACAGTAATGAATCAGTACAGTTTCCCAGCTCTGGATGGGGAACTTCACTTGAAAAGATGGCTCCAAATGAATCGCCATATTTTTAAGTCTGGAAAAGCATCGCCAATGTGGAACACCACTCCGTTCCGATCGGATAAGTAAAGACCAGGCGCTTTTTAGACGACGAATACCTAGAGGATATTGAATGTGTGAGTGATCCCAGGTACTTTTTTTTAAAGGGAAGTGTTGCCACAGTTTCAGGAAAAGCGACCCTCCTCATAATCTGAAAATTGCCCATGTATCTTGTCAGGAGAAGTGGTGAGTGCTTCATGTTCGTGTGTGGCAGGAAAAGTAGGATTCTGTAACCAAATATTGGCGATGATGTTTACTTTATTATCTTCTACTACTTCCAAAGCTCTGATTGAGGAACAGGATCAACAGTCCTCCGTGGCTTGTACCTCTCAACTCCAGCAGTGGCACAAAAAGGGTGGAGGAAAGAACATGCACCTCAGACAGTAATGGAAGTAGAAGGTAAAAGTGAGGAAAATAAAGGACACTAAATCCACTTTAGGGTCTGGTATCAAACCTCTTTTGTATGATGCCAGAATAAAAATTATGCACAATCTGGCTATGGAGTAAAATTTCAAGGAGCAACTGAGAGAAATTGGTCCCAACATGGGCCTATCTCAAATGGCTAATGAACAGACTGATCAGGCTGGTGCTGGACATGTGGAAACCAAATTTAGCAAATTTCAAGTAGGCAGTTTCTTATCATATCAAATTGCGCTTACAGAATCACACTTTAAGGCCACTTCATCTATTAACTGCATTTCGAGACTCAATCAAGTAAATAACAAGGCCTTAAGGTTTCCTTTACGGGACATTGACAGCATAGTAATTCCTAATAATTTGTGTGAGAACAACCAAAAATTTTTACAATCTTTAACTTTAGATGAAGATGAAATCAATGAGGTGGAAACTCAAACAAGGAAACAAGCTGAGTGCTCAAAATGGAAAGAAGAGAGAAAATTCAGATTTACAGCATCACAGTATCATTTGATTTCTAAACGACGAGAAACCATGCTACTTTTGCAGAGTAACTGATGAATCCTTTCTTCTAAATATTTAGAACACGGCCAAAAGTTTGAACCGGTTACTCTAATGGAGTATGAAAAGTTCATTTTCAACAGAAGAACACCTGTTAATCCTTTCACTCCCAGATCTCAAAAGTAATTCTCCTTACTGTCTGCCATACAGTTCTCATGATGTTTGTGAGGAGAATTTGGTTTTGAATCAACTAATAATTGCCTGACTGATATATTTCTTTATTCTTATCACTTGTCTTCTTGACATTGTATTGATATTGTAGAGAGAAAATCTGTCTTGGTCACTCTTGGGAGTTAAATGGTTAAGGTACTGCCCTGTGGACTTGTGGTGTCTAGAGAATGTCCAATTTTAGGTGCCACCCTGAATGCACAAGTATTTGACTTTGGCTGTGTTGATTACTTTGGGATAGCAGAAGTAAAATGCCTGTACACCAAATATCGTGTTACACCACTTGATGCTTGCACAGATGCAAAGTTCTTCATGGAACAGATAGGTGCTTCTGAGTGTAAATTGAAGGAGAAACCACCTGTACTATGCCCAAGTCCAAGGACATATGGCAGTTGTGGGAGCAAGGTGGTGTGACATTATTGTTTTTACCAGCAAAGGAATATATGTCCAACGCATACTTTTTGACCCTGTTTTCCAGGCTGTACTAGTGCAGAAACTGCTTTCTTATTACTTTGAACATTTTATTAAGTTTGCTTCTGCAAATATTTTTTATTGAAAGTGTCTGGAAGTTTGACTACAAAGCACAGATAAAAATGCGAGAAATTTTATTTTTTTCAGAGAATAAGGTAGTTCTACCCATATATAAATAGAACGAATTTGGTTTAATAAATCAGATATGCAGCATGATTCCTTTTCTTCCATCCCCACTCAAAACAAGCAAACACACCTATGGAGGTTCCAGTCTGGTCTGAAAATGAAAAGGAGGAAGGTGATCACTGCAAAATTAAGCATTAGGGTTCTTATTTAAAACATATTGATTATTGTATACTGATATCAAGAAATTAAGGTTGCAAGTAGTAACCAGCTAAGTTATAGTTTGAGTTTTATCAAGTCCATTACTTTGTTAAATTTAGAGTAACCTTGTCTTGAGAGAGGGAAATTGAGGAGCTGTAATACACTTATCATCAATTAGGGACCACAAAGAAAAATTCGTTTATAGAGACTTTTGGAGGAGAGGGGTAAGACTTGTGACAAGCTGGAAGACAATCTAAAGTGCTCAGTGTTTGGATCAGCTATGGCTCAACTTAAACTTTGCTTTAGCTTCAAGTTTAATCCTTTGTGGTTTCCTTTCTCTGTGTTTATTTTTCAAGTTATGTTACACAAAAGAACACAAAAATGACAAGGAATGCTTTTGAATATTAAGAGGCTGGAATAAGCAAGAAACCAAAACTGAATTTTAAACAGAACAAAGTTAATTTGATCTTCCAATGTTATTTAATTTTAACCATTGATAGAATTTGCTATTTAAATTTATCCCCTGCATTGTTTTAGATATTTTTAGCAAAAACAAACAATTATCACAAAATACATGGTATACATTGGTTTGATTCACCAATGTGGCAAAGACCTTTCACTGCCTATCCATAAAAAGGGAAATAATTTGTAAAATGTAAGACATTCTGCATCTTGAGTGTATACTTATTTATCCATGCGAAATTAAAGGTTACTTGAAATAAATGCGAAATTTTCCTTTTTGCAAAAGAAAACCGCTTTTTTATGCTCTTTTAAACGTGTACCAAACTGATGTTTGGTCTGTCCGACGTATTCGTTGTCACAGTCATTGCAAGGAATAGAATAAATGGCGTCGGTTCGTTGTTCTTTCGGGACAGGAACCTTAGGTTTGGCGAAAATATGCCCCAAAGTCTGAAAAGGTTTTTGAGCAACTTTATCGTAGTGGCTATTCAAAATTCTTTTGATGGGTTCAGTAACACCCTGTATGTAAGGAATAACAGCAAAACCAGTCGCTGGTTCCCTTTCATTAAGAGCGTTACTAGTTGTAACTGATTTTTGGCAGTTACGGAAAGGTTTTTGTATAGCCATTTGCCTTTAGGACATTAGAAACATATTTCCTTTCCTCAGCCTTCGAATCGAGTGAAGATGGTCGACAGTCAGCCCTCTTAAGTAAAGTTTTGGCCACGGACTTTTTTTGGCAAATAGGGTGGTGAGAATCGAAAGCGAGGTATTTTTCGTTGTGGGTAGGTTTACGGTAGACACTTGTCTCTAAATTACCCTGAACACCTCTGGACACATTTAAATCAAGAAAGAGCGAATGTTTATCCTTTTCACTCTCAAGGGTGAATTGGATCGACGGCTCTACTGAATTCAAATGCGACAGGAGGCGCTCTGCTTCATTTCCGGATACCGCAGAAATAACATCATCGACATATCGTTTCCAGAAAAAGGGTTTAACCGGTGAAGCAGCTAAGGCCCTTTCTTTCACGTCTTCCATTACCATGTTAGCAATGACAGCAGAGACGGGCGAACCCATCGCTGTACCAAAAACTTGTTTATAGTAGGTACCGTTATATGTAAATTGCGTGGTTTTGAGGCAAAAAGACAGCAGATGAATAATATCCTCCACAGGCAAAGAAGTTCTTTGTCCTAGGGAAGCATCTTTTCTGAGTCTCTCCTCCGGCACGGCAAGATCAACTGAGATTTTAGTGAAGAGCGAAACAACGTCGAAAGATACTAATTCTTCACAAGCGTTAAGAGTTTTATCTCTTATGAAATCCGCAAATTCCCAGGAATTTTTGACAGTGTAATCAGTATTCCCAACAACAGGTGACAAAATTCTCGCAAGATAACTAGAAATTGCATAAGTCGGAGAATTAACAAAAGAGACAATGGGTCTCAAAGGGATTCCCGGTTTATGAATTTTGGATAGTTTATGAACTTTGGTCATGAGTTGTCCATCATTCCATCGAAGTCCTTCGAGGTGGTTTTGGTGGATGGAATCTAATGCTGACCCTGTCAAATGACGTTTTCAGCTGTTTTAGCTCTCAGGAAGACTAAATTCACAACTCACGGCTACATCGGTGCAATATCCACAGGCACAATGAAAAGAGCATTTTGTAAAATTGTCACAGTTGTAGGATTTCTAAATGTCGCTATAGTAGTGATTTATTTAAACATTTACTATCCAAATGAGAAACGGAAAAGGATTTTCACGAAGGAAGAGGGATTGGAAGGACAACTTAGAGTTAATTCTTCGAGTTTCAATGACATTACGACCATGTACCCACGACTCAAGAACGTTCGTTGGCAGTGCTCTCAGCTGACATTTTCATTCGCTCCTCATGTTACGCAACCAACCCTGCACACCAACAACACAAGTATTTTCCTTTTGGTTTTAATCACATCTGGAGTTGACAAGTTGCATTCAGAGCGACGAAACAGTATACGTAATACATGGGGTGACAAGTCGATCAAAAGTGGCCGGAGAAACTGGGAGCGCGTCTTTGTTATAGGCAAAGCTCTCGGCGCCGAACGCTCTGAAGAAATTCGCCAAGAAGCGGCCTCTTTTGAAGACATTCTTGTGCTGAACATGACGGATAGTTACAAAAATTTAGTGATTAAGATTTTGTCTGAGTTGCTATGGAGTTTGATTCATGTAAACCCACGCTTTATCCTCAAAACAGATGACGATGTTTATGTTCGTGTTCCTCGACTGCTATCATGGCTGGATAATTATGCAAATAACAATTATGCAGGGGATAAATTATACGGTGGTTTCGTTGGTGGTGACAATGGTCCAGTAGTACGAGCAAAGGAATCGAAACACTTCGTTGCTAGAGACTGCCTGGCTGAAGATTTTTATCCTTCTTACTGCATAGGTGCGTCTTACATTATTTCCAGGGATGTTCTTCCTTCTATACTAGAAGCAGTAGAAAGAAGACCTGTGTTCCCTGTCGAAGATGCCTACATAGGTGTCTTAGCCAAAGAAATTGGCCTTCAACCGGTGGATATACCCGGTTTATATTTCAGGAAAAAATTGGCAGACTATCAAAGGTGCGATTTTGCTTCGGCAATGGCTATAGGGCATAGTTTTAAATTGTTGGAGTTTTTTTTTGTGGCAGAGAACATGGAACAGACAAAACAACTTCCAGAAAGTTATTTGAAATGTTTATTGATGTATGAATGGGTGGGTTTTATATTTCTTTTAATATCCCTGATTATTTTGGTTTTTCTTGCGGTTGTTTTTTGTAAAATTGTGATCACACCTGAGAGGGTAAATAGTGCTTTTTGCGCGCTCTGACTGGCTAGATAGGGTGTGATAAGCAAGTACTACATATCTACCTCCGAGCAGCCGAAGAGATAAAATCACGCGTCAACAATTTATTAAATTTGATACAAGGCGATAAAACAGATAGCTAATGTTTGAGAATAAAAGACAAAGGTGTACTGGGAAATACTAAAAAGTCAATTTGTAACACAATGAACGTTTTTGACGGTGAAGAGGCTAGTTAATACAAAAACCTTCATTAGGCATCTTTGCTGTAAATATCCACGGCCAAGCGGTTTACACTTCCCAGTTACAGGTAGACGGTAGGATCTGGGTCCAAGATTATATTCAAGTATATGACAAATTAAGAATATCTTTAATTACGAAGTCATAGATTGCTATTATACAACTGCACTAAGTAAGGTAAAAAATAATGCGCGAAACGAGTGCATTATTTAGTTTTAGTCGGGGAGGGGGGGGGGGAGATATTTGGTCACGTGATGCGTTTTGACCAATCGTGCACAAGCAAAAATAAATGTTTGATTTTTAGCCACGATAGTGTACGGTTATTTGTTTTAATGCAAAATAAAAACATCTGCATCACAGGTTGGCTCAGCTGGCATTAGGTGTTTCAAAGAGATGCATATAAAAAGGAGCCATTACTTAAGGATAATGGGTTCCTGATTTAAGATAAAGCAGTACGATATTGAATAAGTTATTAGACACTTCGGTGCGTGTTATCCCTTAGTATTTTTAGGAACTGTGCCATATTGTAACAAGCCCGTAAGGCGGGTCAAAATACAAAAAAACTCGTTAAAATACCCAGAAATACCACACACCAAAACGTCTGATAAGATATAATATATATATTTACTAATACCTCGCATTTTGACTTAACCCTTTAACTCCCATGAGTGACCAAGACAGAATTTCTCCTTACAATATCAATACAATATCAAGCAGACAAGTGATGAGAATAAAGAAAAATATTAATTAGGAGATTATTAGTTGATCCAATACCAAATTCTCCAAACTAACATCACAAGAACTATATGGCAGATAGTAGTTTAGGTGAATTACTAGTGAGATCTTGGGAGTTAAAGGGTTAAAACTGACAGTCTGCGCATACTAGGTAATACGCTGGAGGGACATACTAAGTTTTGATAAGCAATTGGAAGGTCTTATGTCTCCGCTGTATGCCCTCAACTGCGCTTTAAACGCAGATGACAGTGCAGCTATTGGTTAGAAATGTTAGATTCTTTCCCTTGATATTCCAAGTATCACGCCCGGAGACAGTAGGATGCGTGTGTTTGCTACTGAAGTGAGAGAAGAGTAGTAAGTATACACGATGGGTTTTCTCCTTAATCCACAAAGAGGAAAGTGTTGTTCAGTCTTGAATTGGTCGCCCATTATCAGATTAGAAGGTTTCACGTATCACCAAGGCAATTGCTGAATAAATACTGAAAAAGAAAGAGAAAGTTTCTTTCATTTCAACTCAGAAAATTGCTTGTAACTCAGGTGGTAAGCGTACTAGTGGAAAGAGCGTGAGTTTCTAAGGACGCACGCGAGAGAAAAAAACAAAAAGAGGAGAGAAAACGGCTGGTTTGCAACAAATCAATAAGAAAAAAAGGAGATTACCCATGTGAAGAATATGCTAGAGATGTAAACTAACTGTTGGAATGTGTATTGCATGATTTATCTTTAGTAATTTTTTTCTGGATCGACTGCGCATAGCACTGCAGTGATTGTAACTGGGTTGCCCGTGCGAGCGCGACCCTCGGGCATCGTGCGCGAGCGAGCAATAAAGATTCGTGTTTTACTCAGAAACAAACCAACAAACGAGAAACAGGAAAAATAAACAGGAAAGCTCCCTGTGAAAGCTCCCTTACGAAATTCTAATTAGAGAATTTCAATATCGATCACTTCTCCACGCACCTTATTAGCTCTATTGCGCTCGAACAGTCGGAAGCTGAAACCAACGCTGCTCTTTACGTCTACCACACTGTTCATCAGTTCACAGGCCCTCTCATTCTCGTCATGCTTTCCAGAATACTGATAATTATAAGCCAAACATCTGGGAATCCGAAGGCAAAGATCCTCGCATTGAATTTCTGATACAACAGACTGGTGGTAAATCACGTGACCCTGTAGCTGTTTGTCCCGAACACGTTCTCTGCTGATGGGTAGAAGTTTTTCGAGATGGCACTCCGAAGGCTGGTCAGTTGTTGTAAATGTTGGTGGTATATCCGTAGGTATCGGCGCCTCTGCAACAAATTCAAAGAGAATTTGTTTTTATTATCTACAGTGGTAAATGAAGTTCAGACGCTTTTGTAAGCAGGTTCTCTAGAAGCAGAAAAAGCGTCCATAACTGAAGCTAGTCGCATACGAGAATTTATAGGTTGAACATTCGCATGGGAGCATCGATTAGGGCGCACGGTTTATGGGAAACTCTGCACAGAGGGTACAGAGTTTTGTATTGCAACCACACTCACTGTTTTTAATGAACTTAATGAATTCTTGATTGCGTTGTAATCATTTAGGAGAACTGTCGCCGATTCTTTTGCCCCGCACACATGCATTTGAAGTGAAAAGAAAAAATAGAAAAAATTCTCAAAGGTTTTTCCGTTCGCCTTAACCTCGCGCCATCTTCTCAATCAATCAGATGTGGTCTGACAAAGCCAATCAGTCACCACTTGGTCTTAGACAATTTCTAATTCTTGTCGTTAGTAACGTGTCAAGTCGACGATACCTTGATACGACCTTTATAATCGTCCAGGGTTTCTTGATAACCTTTTTTTCCTGCTTCGATGGAATCTTAAGATTTAGTTTAGCTTCATTCAAACATTTTTGCCTTTACTCACCTGTCGGAACAGGACAAAAATTGCATGTCTTTTGGCATTTGTACACAGCATAGTGGGAAGTCCTTTTGCATTTGCCAGTGGTCTTCCAAATCCAACAAAAGTAACCTCTATCTGAGCAAGATGCTGGCGCCATTATTATATAGGGTATGAAACAAATTGGAACAGTAAGTAACTTGAGACCATGAATGACTTAGCATGGGAGGGGTAGGGGGAATAATGAGACGAGAGGAGATAAAAGGGCAGTGGGGTGGGCAGAAATGTGGTTAACATGTTGCTTCTTAGCCGGCACAGCTGGCGTAACTTTGGCGAACTAGCGCTCACTATTATCTTGGTTAAAAAAAATTATAATCGCCATCTTTGATTTTTATTTTCATAACAGTGGAAGGCTTGGGGGGGGGGGATGAGCGAGGGTCAAAAAGTAAGGAGAGGGTGGGGACGGAGCGATAGAAATCTTCTCGTCTTTCTCCACCGCGAGCCTATACTCGCCCCAAAAAGACACCTGCGATACAGGCTGGTTCTCGAATGTAACTAGCCAATGGGTGCACTCATTAATGGATAAAAATGGTGTGTAATACACAGCAGCTTCAGCCATGGTGGGTAAACAACACAATTCAACTTAAGAGTTCTCTGACCGTGCGCTCACGATGGATAGAGCTGGTGTTTAATACATACTAGTTCAGCCACGATGAGCGCAAATAATTAGGCGAACAAACTCGAGCGAACAATGCAATTTAATTGATTAGTTTGCTGACCTGACTAGTTTACTGACTACTGACCGATAAACATTAATGAGCCGAAGAAACAAATGACCGAGAAACAAGTAAAAAACTTTTGCAGTTAAGTTTAAGGTTTAAACATCATTTTGAAATTGGAACTTAGTTGTGTTTGTATATAATTAACCGGGAGATCCACAGGCGGGTTAGCGGAAAAGTAAAACAGTTCCTCTTCGATGGAGGAGATTAAATCAAAACTAATAAAAGAAAAAATTAAACAAGTTTACCATACTTGCAAATGCCGCCATGTACCACAAACTCCAGCTAAAAACTGAAAAATCAAATAACCAATGTCTTAGAATATTTTTGTTTGTTTGGAAGAAATTATATACATTTTTACAACTCCGGCCTAAATTCATTGATCAGTCAATATTTATCGTCTCGGGAGGGGGAGAGGGGGAAGAGAGAGGAGGAGTCACATGGTTTTTGGAGTGACGGTGGGGAGATCAGTCGTCGTCAACAGAGCCCACAGGGGGGAGGCTACAGAAAATTAACTGCCAACAAGAGATTATCATTTCTAGCTGTCAATTGACTGACCATGAGGAGGGGCCAGGAATTTATAAGAATATTAAGAGCCTTATAAGGGTTCAGGTAAATTTTATCATGATGCATCAAAATCCTCTGCTACCCCCCTTCCCTGCGAGTGGCATTTCAGAATGAGCTTCAGGACACCGCAGAAGTGATTAACTTGTAACCTCTCCTAGTGATATTCATACATAATCCAGCGCACAGATAATGAGAATACTCAAACTCATTAGGCAGAAGTTGTTATCTTAATCTAACACCAAACTCTCGTGACTAATTCCCCAGGAAGTGTGTAGCAGTTAGTGGGGAAAATTAACAATGAGATCGTGGGAGTGAAAGTGTTAAACGGTTCCCCTATTATGGCCTTTCATGAGCAGAACCCCTTGGAAAAAGCAATAAAGCCTCTTGAATACATCTTGATGACCCGTCGAGAAATGTTATGTCAGCTGGCTCACGACTTATGCTAGTGTTGCAGTCTCACAGCCTGCTTATCAAAGCTTGAGTCATCATGTGTATGACAAAAAACAGCATAGTAGTTACGACGCTCGTACGATTTTAATTTTTTCCCTTTGTAAGTTCACTTCAAATAAAAACATTTTTTTCATAACTTCTAATTATTCCTTTGGCTGAATGAGAAAAGGATTTTCCGAGGTACAGCCCTAGGAATGATGAATTTACAATTTATCTATTTGAAATCTCGAAACAACCTTGTCTCGGACATGTTTCCCCTATTTTCTCACATGATTCACACATCCTTTTCAAACTAAAATATTTCATATTTTTAAGTTAGATATTCAAACACACCGTTTACTCTTTAGCAGCAGCAAAATGGGTGACTAAAGATATATTTTACAGAAGAAATTCAACAACACTTTTGAGACACAACATATGCTCATGCAGATTATCAATGTATACCTCTAACTCATTTGTTTTTTATCATGATATGAGAGAGAAGAATTATTTTGCTTCTTGAATCAAAAGGTACTATGTATTCGCTGTATACATTATCATCTCACCTGTAATTTTTAACCCTATCATTGTTTCCGACTTGGTGGTTTTTCTCACTTAATAACAGTTGTATTTTTTCTCCTTTTTCAAGTCCTTTCGGTTTTCTGTTTTAAAACTAATGACACCTTGACTGATGATTGAGTTATGGTTAAAAGGACTGTGCGGCTATTGCAAACATTAACTAAACTTAAGGAGGCAAAAGACAATGGTCTCTCATCCAGCCGTTTGAAAAAATAAACAAAGCTGTCCAATGTTTCATTAAGTTCTGACATTTTCAAATTTTTAGTTTTAACATAAAATCATTTACACATTTAAAATAGAGCTTTATAATTTTAATTTTGAGGACGTCACCAATTTCCATCGCTCGTTAAAACTGCGCATCAGAGTTAGGAAGGTTACAAGTTTAATTTTAATGTTGGTGGTGAGAAAGAGCGAGTTTCTCAATACCACTGACTTTAATAACCTATTTCTGTTTACATAAAAAATATCGTTGCGAAGCAACTTGAAAACCGGGCACATCCGTCAGTGATAAGAATCATTTGATGCCTTTTATCAACAGATTATCTACTTTCCTCGCGGAAGTCTGATGTAAATGGTCGAGTCTGTAGGGGAAAACGACCTTTGGTGCATCACATTATTTTTTTTCTCTGAAAAGAAATTAAAAGGATTAATTTACCACAAAGCTATTAGTCACTGCAGGTGTCAACTCATAGAAAAAACATTTACGTGAGGGTCATTATCTTTTCATCGGAACATAACTCCGAGGGAAGTTTGGGTCCGAGGCAACTCGACCCAAGCCCCCCTCCTTTACGCGACCAGAGCCAATTAAGTCTCCTGCATTTTTCTCGCTCCGCCGCTACTCTCCCTTCCTTTTACAAACTGAACGCCTAGAACAGGCTATCATTATCATTATCATTATCATGGTTGCTTTATCGAATCTGCAAGTTAGAACAAAGTCCGTCATTTATCGCCTGAGGTGGTGTTGGGGCGGGGGGGGGAAGAAGGAAGGAAGGGGGCAGTCGTCCTCAAAGTAGTATAAAGGGAGGTTATAGAAAATTAATAGCCAGTTAACCGCCAATAAGTGAGTATCATAGGAATACCAGAGAGCCTTATGGGGGATCAGGTAAATTTAATCGCGACATGACTAAAAACCCCACCCCTCCCCTCCCAGACAATAAATAACGACTGGTCCTTAGCATAATTATTTTCAAAAGAGTTGTAAACTGTTGTACGAGTATATTTTCAGAAACCCGCTGGTCGCGTTTCTTGGAAGAAAGAAAGCCGTTAGCCGAAAGACTACTGAAGGTTCTCATTAAAGATAAAATAAAAAAAAATGCTTTCATTTAGATCTCAATAGATCTTTACTCAGTTCCGGATCCTACACTCGATTGACCACAATCTTGACAGTAAGTTTGTTTCGATGAAATTTTTTACCCACAAATAACATTTCACTGATAAATAACTTTAAAAGCTTAATTGTTAATTAGGTATCAGACAACTGTATCAAGCTGGTTCTCGTTACTCTAAAGGAAAACATGTAGGTTTCTTCATGTTAAATTTCTCGTAAATGTTTGTGCTAAGCTTGTAATAAAACCAGGGCAAAACTTCTTAGGTCAGCTTTGCAGATCAGTCCTTCTACGGTGTTGTAGTTAACACGCCAATATACAAAAAAATTATTGTGGAACTTGGAATTCCAATGCAACCTCGGTCCACGGTTTCTTCACACTTACTAAGGGCCAGCAATTATCTAGTTGATAAATCCAGTTTAAGCTTTTCCTCTACGCTTTTTAACTTTATTTGTATGCATTGTAAGGCATTGAAGGATTCCAGCCGTACTTTTCCATCATCTGATCCTCCAGTTTTCTCAATTCCATCAGCGAGTTGTGCTTGGATGTGAAAATACTGTGCACAGACGCACCAAATAAGGCTACTGCTGTAGCCAGGAACGCCAACACTAGAGCTTCGCCAAAAACCATGATTGCACACCTGAACGAAAAAATAACAAATAAATATTCATACATGCTTTTTCCTAGGTCATCCATTGATTAAAACTCATCTTACCGCGATGCAAGCGTGAAGCGTTCAAGTCTCGCGTGGGTAGAGCTCGTGAAAAATTAAGACGTGGATGTGGGGACGAAATAGACCAGTATGTGGTTTTTTTCACGAGATTGTCTATATCACCATAAATAGTTTCGTGTAACTTTCATTCTGTCTAAATTTGCATCTTTTCAAGTCCATTCCCCTGGGTGGACGCTTCGCATGTCTTAGTTTCACTTTTGGAGTTTTCAGTTTCGACTAGTAAGTGAGCTTTTCGATTGTGCGTTGTAAAACCAAAACCAAAATAATCACGAAGGTCAGTCAGAAGAAACGAAATACCATTGAGAGCCAATGAAACCTTAAAAAAAAAACCAACCAAGCTGCCTAAGGTGCGGGAAAACTCAGACGACCAGGTTGTGATGGTTTTAGTTTTGCAACTAATTAGCTGAGATGGTGGTGCGAGTTTTCTGGACCAATCACAAAGTGAAGTTCAAGTTGGTGAATGAAACTTTGAACTTAAACTTGATGTAAAGGAAAAACAGAGCAATCATTGATTTCTGTCGACAAACAATTAAAAATTGCTCTTTTCGTTCTATTCGCTTTTGTTCATTTTCTTTATTCATTTACTGTCCGCAATAAATTACTGAAGAAAGAAGACGCTCGTACAATGTACGCAAGCTATTGTTTGTGCTCATCAACCCTTGATTACACCCAAGAAAACGCCCCCGAATCACCTTTTTCGCGAGCTTTACTTCTTCTAGAAGGAAAAAAGACAATTGGATGCCAGTGATCCCTTGGAATATCTACTTAAACATAAAGTTTGTTTTGTCATTTTTTTCAGTTCGTTGGCATTAAACTGCATAAATCACAACCATACTTAAAAAAAAAAAAAAAGACAATCGTCTGTCGCTAATTTATTCTTAACCCGTCGAGGTTTGTCTAGCCAAGTCTAGCCGTTGCAATGCTACGAACAATGGATCAAAATAGTACGATGTATTCGCTCCTTTTCTCAAGTAAACGTAACTATTTGGATCAATATCAGTATCTGTATCTTTGCGACCATTTTTTGTAAGTTCAGATTGATCTGATTTCGTTTTTCATTTGAAGACCGAAGAAAGATGACGTATTTACAAATATACAGCGCGGCTGCTAATCCATAGACAATCAAGACACTTATTGGCAAAAGCTTTTAGCTTCGTCTATTGTCAACCTTAAGGCGCTGAAAGGAAAATATTTGCTTCAGCCGAGAAAAACAGTGTTTATTTTTTTCGTTACATATTTTCGACGGGGTTCATTTGAGGTCCGCACGAAATAAAAGTGAGATCAGAGTGTTCGTTTTTGCGGTTTACTAATGGTGGAAATTTAAACGTCTTGTTTGCCATCTGTTTCTATTTTATAGACAAGTCGGTGGCACATTTTTCATGTCTCCAAGTGTTTTTTTTTAGTTATAAAAGGACGGAAGAAAGAACGAGAATTTCCGATGCCAGTTTCAGCGAGACTTTTTTTGCATGTAGCAAAATACAGGTAGTGCAAAATCTTCAGATTTCGTTTTCGTCTAGAGAGAGCCCTCCAATTTAATTTATCTAAACTCTCAGGAAACCATCAGAGCGCAAATTGTTTACATGCTGAATATTAATTACCTCGCAAACTACACGACAGTACGTGACCAAAACATGTTAAATTTTCCCGTTACGCTGTCTGCTTCTTTAAATCACGATGGGGGGATAAAAGCGATTTAACATTTACAAGTGAAAAACTCAGCGTGCAAACTAGCGTCTTTACTAAGTGAGAAACTTACCCAACAGAAATCTGCAAGTTAGAACATAGTCCGCCATTTATTGCCTGAGGTGGTGGGGGTGGGGGGAGGGGGTTTTGGAAAATAGAGGGGGCATCAGTTGTCCCTAAAGTAGACTTAAAGGGGGCTAGATAAAATTAACTGCCAATTGACTGCCAATAAAGGGAGGATCATAAGACTACTACAGAGCTTTATGGGGGATCAGGTAAATTTAATCGTAACAAGACCAAAATCCCCACCCCTCCCCTCCCGGGCAATAAATAACAACCAGTCCTCAGCATAATTATTTTCAGAAGAGTTGTAAACTGTTGTACGAGTATATTTCCAGGAACCCGTTTGTCGCGTTTCTCAGAAGAAAGCTGGCCGTCAGCTGAAGGACTACTGAAGGTTCTCATTAAAGATAAAAAAAGGTTTAATCTAGATCTTACTAGATCTTTACTCATTTCCGGATCCTACACTCGATTGACCACAATCTTGACATTAAGATTGTTTCGATGAAAAATTTTTAACCTACAAATAACATTGAACCGATAAATACCTTTAAAAGCTAAATTGTTAATCAGGTATCACACAACTGTATCAACCTGGTTCACGTTACTCTAAAGGAAAGCATGTAGGTTTCTTCTTGTTAATATCTCGTAAATGTGCTAAGCTTACAATAAAACCAGGGCAAAACTTCTTAGGTCATCTTTGCAGATCAGTCCTTCTACGGTGTTGTAATTAACACGCCAATATACAAAAAAATTCTTGTGGAACTTGGAATTCCAATGCAACCTCGATCTACGGTTTCTTCACACTTACTGAAGGCCAGCAATTATCTGGTAGAAAAATCCAGTTTAATCTTTTCCTCTACGCTTTTTATCTTTAGTTGTATGCATTGTAAGGCATTGAAGGATTCCAGCCGTACTTTTCCATCATCTGATCCTCCAGTTTTCTCAATTCCATCAGCGAGTTGTGCTTGGATGTGAAAATACTGTGCACAGACACACCAAATAAGGCTACTGTTGTGGCCAGGAACGCCAACACTAGAGCTTCGCCAAAAACCATCATTGCACACCTGAACAAAAAAAATCAAAAATAAATATTCATATATGCTTTTTCCCAAGTCATTCCATTGATTAAAACTCAAGTCTCGCGTGAGTAGAGCTCGCGTAAAAATGAAGGCGTGCATGTGGAGACGAAATAGACCTATAGGTGGTCTTTCTCACGGGATTGTTCATGTCACCATTAATAGATTTGTAGAACTTTTAGTCTGTCCAAATTTGCATATTTTCAAAGCTCCATTCCCCTGGGTAGACGCTTCGCATGTTTGAGTTTCACTTTTGGAGTTTTCAGTTTGGGTTGATTAGTACGCTTTTCGATTGAGTGTTGTAAAACCAAACCCAAAATAATCACATCTACATAGGCAACTCAGAAGAAACGAAATACCATTACGAGCCAATGAGACCTTAAAATAAAACCGACCAAACTGCCTAAAGCGCAAGAAAAGGCGGACGACCAGGTTGTGAGGGTTTTAGTTTTGCAACTAATTAGCTGAGATGGTGGTGTGACTTTTCTGGACCAATCACAAAGTGAAGTTCAAGTTGGTGAATGAAACTTTGAACTTGAACTTGATGCAAAAGAAAAACAAAGCAATCACTGATTACTTTCGGCAAACAATTGAAAATTGCTCTCTTCATTCTATTCGCCTTTGTTCACTTTCTTTAGTCATTTACTGTCCGAAATAAGGTATTAAGGAAAGAAGACGCTTGTACAATGTACGCAAGCTATTATTTGTGCTCATCAACCCTTGATTACACCCCCGAAAACACCCCCGAATCACCTTTTTCGCGAGCTTCACTTCTGTTTTGAGGAAAAGAAAGATTGGATGCTAGTGTTCTCTCGGAATATCTACCAAAACAATAAGTTTTAAGTTAAGTAAGTTTTTTTTTATTTTTAAGTTCGTTAGCAGTAATCTGAATAAATCACAGCCATACTTAAAAAAAAGACACTCGTCTGTCGCTAATTTATTCTTAACCCGTCGAGGTTTGTGTTTGCCAAGTCTAGCCAAGTCAAGCCCTTACAATGCTTTGCACAATGGATCGAAATATTACGAAGAACTCGCCCCTTTTCTCAAGTAAATGTATTTTTACAACCCTTTTTTGTAAGTTCGGATGGATCTGTTTTCGTTTTCCATGCAAAGATCGCAGAAAGATGACGCATCAGTTTACGAATAAACATCGCGTCTACTAATTCATAGTCAATCAAGATACTTATGTGCAAAAGCTTTTAGGGTCGTCCGCTCTCAACCTTAAGGCGCTGAAAGGAAATATCCGATTCAGCCGAGAACAAGAGTGTATTTTTTCTTTGCATATTTTCGACGGAGTTCAGTTGAGGCCCGCACGAAATGAAAGTCAGATCGGAGTGTTCGTTTATGCGGTTTACTAATAGTGGAAATTTAAACGTCTTGTTTGCCATTTCTTTAGCCGGCGTAACTGACCTTGGTAAATGCAATAGACGGTTCTTTTTCTTAGAATACAGCGAAGAGTCATATTGCATCTTCATGAGTAATTATTGAGGATTAAGAGAGGTCCTTTGTCTTGACTTTACAGGGGGTGATGGAAACACTAAAAATTGATCGTATGCGTCGGAGCTGTTTGTCGATCCGTTTACTTGTTTAGAAATTTTGGATGACCACCATGGAAAATTCGTTATTCAGTTAAAAAAACGCTTTGCCTCAAGCACGAAAGTTATTCTGCACCATATTCTAGTGGCCAGAGGTTGCAATTATTATAGGGGCTAGATCTTATTTTAAGATAACTAACGGTCAGCCCCTTCTTCATATCACCCTAACGAATTCTTACTTCACTTCATTGCTGTTGAGCAAAACAACTGCCTGTTCAGGCTTTCTCACAGCTGAAACACTTTTTACTGCAAAGAACAAAAATCAAAACATCTTCCATCAAGATCTTAGCGAGGTTTTAGCTTAACGCTCGCCTAATTTCTCAGGGATAATACTCAGCTGTTACGCAGTTCATTTTCAAATTCAATAATCTAATATGACCGTTTTATCCGCTAAATGCCTGTAAAAGCCGCAAATGCTTGAAAAAATTTATCCGATATAATAATGAGCAATGCTTGATCATTTTGCAACGATTATACCCAAAAATTATCTTACCTTTTCCCAGGATAAGCTTTCTACGCAAAATCAACCGCACACTCGACGAGATGTATTGTCAAGTTTGTTTTTATCGATCGTATGATCAATTTCTGTATATTTGAATACTGATGAGGCATAACAACAAAGGAAATTTTCCGTCAGCATAAACTGAGGTAATTAAAGTCACGTTTTTTTACTGCTAACATTCCTAAAACTGTGCACTAAGTCATAACAGAGATTAGAAGCACTGGAATATTCTTCAAGGCTTATCGAGTGTATCCTTTTCAGAAAACACTCACCAATTCAATCCCACAGCATCAAAATAGGCTCATCTCTCAGTCATTGACTTGAGGCACACTTTAATTTGCGCACTGAAACGAAACGAACTGGAAATCAGCGGAGTCTGCAGAAGTAAACACAAACTCTGTTACGCGCGTTGACGATGTCTTTACAATGTAAAATGATCCTTATTTTACAAAAATCTAAATTAGCAACGTTTTCATGATTACGAAACAAACTAATCCTTTCAAACATGGAACTACCTCCTCTTTCCAATATCAATACATTGTCTAGCAGGAAAGCTATGAGATGCAATAAAAGCATCAACACAGGAACACTGTTCGATTTACATAAAATTATGAGAGCTGAACTTGAAAGAGGTATGTGGCAGAAATAAAGGGACGATCACGGCACGCGTGATAAAAATCGATAAACTTGTTACACCGGCTTTTAGTATCGGCATTCCTGTCCAGTTTCATGCAATCTTGGGCTGTTGCGAACGTTATAGGGTCTAAGATTTCTCTCTCTTGAGGTAGTTGCCTGGTAAACGATTCTTTCTTCTATGTTCTGATCTTTTGCAGGTGCTTCTGAGGTTATTATGAATATAGCTATCCTCTTGTTTGTATTCTGTCGATTTTTGCGGGAGTTAGTTGTTATTCCCATTTATTTCCTTAAACAGACAGTATATTCCCTTCAGACTGGGTTTCCGTCGAGAGAGAAAGCCCTGAAATTTATTGAAACTCTCAGAAACATTCAGAGCACAAATTGTCTTCATGTTGAATTTTTATTACCTCGCAAAATAAACAACAGTACGTGACCAGAACACCTTGAAATTGCGAAATTTTATCGACACAAAGGGGAATAAAAGGAAATTGACATTCAAGGGTCAAACCGCAAGAAACAATCAGAGAACCGCAAGAACTCAGTGCGCAAACTCATAGCGTGACCTAAAGGTTGAATTGCATATCGTGGAAAAAATGCAGTGAAAAGAGGCTGTTTTAAAAAGCATTTAGATAGGCTGGCCAGTAACAGGTGCAGTAATCTTTTCCTTGATAACTGAAAGAAATCAAAAGCTGGCCGCAACAAAGCCTCAGCTTAGGACCAAGCTCTGAGACACGACAATGTAACCAGTGCCAGACCCGTTTCACAGCCCTCTCTCACGCTCATATTACCCGCCACCTTGAATCGCACGGGTTTCGCCGTTTTGAGTCTGCGCATTGAGTTCTTCCAGTTTGTCACTAGTAAGTGTCAGATTTCAATTGTTCCCTATCCCAATTAATAAGAAGCAGAACACGTGGTGGTAAGACTGTAGGTGTTTTGGTCACCAACTGTTGTGTGTGTTGCAATTACAATTAAACTTGTAGACAATTTGTGCCCTGATTGTTTCCTGAGAGTTTCACTAAATTTTGGGGGTTTCTCTCTCGACGAGAACACAGTCTGAAAGTTGTATAACTGTCTAAAGTATTATTTAAGAATGAGAGCTATATCGCACGCGCGTGCAATCTTCAAATAGACAGAATACAAACATAGATTACATAAACTTTCTCCATAGAGAAAAGCTTAAATGATTTATAATTAAAAGTCCTAAAAGTACATGCAAAGAGTCAATACATAAATGGAAGCGACCTCAGGGGTTCGATGCCATCCAAAACTGTATCCTTCTAGAGATCCGCTGGGACTCTGACCAGTGCCAGACCTCTCGCGCGTTTCGTTGCTTGCGCCTCAGCGCTAATGACAGCCCGCTCGAAGGCCACAGGAAGCCCATACAAAGGGTTGTAATGAGATGACTGTTGTATCAAAGTTTCAGGGATTAAAATGCATGGGAATCTTTCAACATAATAAAAAGTTATTGTAACGAATTTCAGTCAAAAGAACATGGTCTCCTGTATTCAGTGATCTTCTAGGTTTGATGGATGATAGTTCACAAGTAGGAGAATGGGCTCTGGTCATTTTAAATTAATCTAGCGCGTTGAATAAATATTTTTTGGGGGAAATTGAACAAAAATGCCTCATCCAGACACCCTTACAACTGTGAATCTTTATTCCCCAAACTTCAAATAAATTCGTCCCCAGGCTTTTATTCGCGACCTTGAATTTGCACGTGTGAGAATCAAGTAATTTGCATTTTATGGTTCCTCGTGGTCTGAAGTGATTCACTTCTCAGACGAGAAAGAACTACGAAAATTGTCAATGAATCAAGTCCAACGTCTAAATGCGGCCGGAGACTTCGAGGAGTCGCTCGCCGCATTTTGCTCAAAACAAAACAAAAGGTAAGAATGAAAATATGTTTAAATTTTAAGTTGTTGTCCAAGTGGCGTAGTGGAGTTGAGATAATTTTGAATTATGGGTGAAAATGGTTTGAAGTCGTTCTTATCAAGCAATGGCATACTGACATTTTCGTTCGAAAACCGAAATTTGCACAGAAGATTTTATTTATAGATTTTGAAAGTAGGATCGCCTCAGTCTATAGAACTCGTGAAGACGGAAATTCATCACTTGGCGGTAAATTCAAACAGAGTTAAAATTTGCCTAATGCGTGAAGGCCAATTCCTGGTGAATAAACCTTTAGGATATTTCGCATAAATGTGGTTGATGGGCAGAGGAATCAAAATTGAATGTTTGAGCTCGATAAAATACTTAAGGTTTCCATAGTCGGTTGTGTCCTCGTGTACCGGTAATAAACTGAACTTAAAGTCCATCTTTATGAAAAAATTTTTGTACCGGTACACCAGGACTGTGGAACATACATTTAAGATAAATAATATACTTATTTTATCATATTGTCCTTTGTAGATTCGAGGG